TGGCACGTTAAAATTCAACATGCGCTTCAAAGCCCCTGAAAAAATAAATTGTTAATAATTATAATGATCACAATTTTAAAATATTTATATTTAGGGGGGCACTGCAGAGAATGGGCCTGTAATCTTTTGAATATGCATACCAAAATGCTTCTTTTAAACTAAAGGACTAGAGGAATTCTTGTTTATGGACATTAACACCTAAAACAGAGAATTATAAAGCAAATGAAAACATGTGCAAATCTCTAGGTACCCAGCACATTTATACAAATGTCTTGGTAAGCCCTTGACACCATCTATATCAGATGCACAGGTAGAATAAATGCAATTGGAAGATCTATTCTATGTACAAGTATTCCTTGCTTAGTGACCACAGTTGTGACTGGTAACTCTAGTCTGTTGTTAACCATTGCAATTGCTAAGCCAAACATCATATTGTTGCAACAGGTTTACAACCTCACTTCCATTAGTTGTTAAGCAAATCACAGTGGGTTGTTAAGTGAGACATCATATGACTGTGACTTGTGATTTTACTGCCAACTTCTAATGATTCTGCTTGTTGGAAGTGGGTTGGGAAGCATGCAAATATAGATCATTTGACTGCAGGGCACTGCGACAGTCATAAATACCCACAAAATGCCTGAATGTTGATTGCAGGACTGCAGGGATGCTGTGACAATCAAAAATGTGAGGACTAGCTGTACAGTTAATTTTACAGCACTGTTGTAACTTTGACTGGACACTTAAATAGGCCTTAAATACTCTTAAATTCCATTATTTTATAAATAGGACAATTACCTTATTTAACCAGTCATTATGTTTATCAAGTCTTTCAGAAATTTCAGTTGAAGAAAAGGCAAAAACCAACTATTCAAAAGATAATTAACAAGAAGAAAACAGGGTTCGCATGTAATTTATATTCACAGTTCTTCATAGCAATGTAAAAAGCTGAAGAAAAAGGATCTGTTTACAAGCTTGGAGTTTTGATTATAACTACTGTATTTTTCGCACTATAAGATGCACCCCCCCCCCAAAGTGGGTGGAAATGTCTGTGCGTCTTATAGAGTGAATATTGCCAAAGCCCCGGCCACCTGCCGGCCAACCCCCTTCAGCCGTTTTTGGCCTCAGCACGCCCCGTTTTCCGCCCGTTCCAGACAGCGGGGATTGCCACCACCTATTGCTGTGGCAGTGGCAATGATCCCTGCCGCCTGGAACGGTCTGAAAACGGGATGTGCCTAGGCCGAAAATAGGGTACGCAGAGGCTGCGATAGGCAGCGGCGATCCCCGCAGCCTGGAACAGCTGATTGGCGGTACTCTGGGAAGCCGATCCAACCGCTAATCAACTGCTTGTGCTGAAGCTGACCAGGCTGTTTGCTGCAAGGAGGCAAATTGCTGGGAAGCAGAGGCAGATTTTTTTCCCCCCTCCCCAAAAACTAGGTGCATCTTATGGTCTGAAGCGTCTTATAGTGCAAAAAATACAGTATATGGAAAGAAATAAGAAGACTATTGTCTTCTACTGCTCTCCTCATATTGGAGGACACATTTATAAAAACATGTTTATGTGTAGACCTTCCCTTTCATGGTAATCACTAATAATGCAGAAGGTGCCATTGATACCTTTTTTCAATCAACAATTAAGGGACAGCAATTAAAAATTACCTCCTTCACATTATTAAATAATAGAATAATTACAATAGAATATAGCAAGCAACTGTTACTAAAAATCAAACTGGATGTAACAGGAGTAATTTTTAATAGGCCTGTCTTGGACTCTTCCATTAACGTTTAGACTCCCCAGGAATCAAATTGACAATGTATAGTAGACCTGCCATGTTTTCTCAGGCCTTTGAGTGTGTTAAGGAGATGGTTGACTGAGTACTTCTAGGGTAGGAAAATGGCTTATTCAACAAGTTATATATCTTGGAACAGTGATCCCACTGCATCTAAAAGTGTGGTTAAGTGCTCAACCTTGATTCTTGGCAGTGAGTTTTCAATGGACAGGAAGGCAAACCCCTCTGGCACTTTTACAGAGAAAGGTGTGAGTAACTGAGATCTACTTTTAGCATAACCTCTTTCATGCCATCAGAGCAAGTTGGTATTATATTTTCTACTCCCTTCCCTATACTGACACCCTCATTTTTTATGTTTGTTTAGTTTATTATTTATGGTATCTATTTTATAGTGTTTCTCTCTTCCATCTACCCAATTACTATGACAGAAGGACTACCCAAATTTTTCTGTTTGTCTTCAGCTAAGTCCCTGTTTTTGGCAGACTATGACGTTCATGCTTTCCAAAGTTTTAAAAGTGTTCTTTCAACCTGTCACCTATTACATTTCTACCATAGGTAATTGCCATGATCTTTGGATGCAGTGACAAGAAATTATGGGAGCTGTGATCAAACACACCTAGAAGACATCAGATTAGACGAAGCACCTTTTAGCTGTAGTGCATAAAAGGAGGACCCTGACTTCATTTCAAGAACTACAGGTAATATATATGAATATGAATCACGAAGAAGTCTATGTCCATTATTTCTTGGGATAATAGTTCTTTAGAAATCTTGCTTGTTTTTGGATATTACCTCTTTTTTTATGTAAGAAGCTCAACATTCTTACTTTCTTTATTACAAAATAAAGTTTATTTATTAGACTTGTATTCCTCTATATGTAAATTTTCTTGGTATATTTAAATCCACGTAAGTTTAATATTTCTAGTTATGCTTGCATTTTGGACCAACTTCTGGAATGACGGTTTCTAACCAAAATGGATCTGTGGGAATATTGATGACTAGAAATGGCCAAATTGTACCAGTCCTACAAGGAATATACAGATTGCCAGTTTGTTTCTATGCATGATTCAAGATTTAGGTAACATTTTTTAAAGCTTAATTTCTTGGTACTTTAGGATTTGTCTCCTTCCATACTGTCATCTTACTAAGATATGACAAAAAGCCCTTGTCTATGTCCCAGTTGGGGCAAGAAAAATAACCTTTTACGGTCACATCTAAGAATTGGAATATTGTATTTTGGGAGGCTAGGCTAGCACCCTCTCTGGCATTTTGCCAATAGGTCAACATCTTACCTTTTAGGAATATATGATCTCTAAAACCAACCTGAAAGTTAGTCTTTTTTTGGTCCCAAACAGTTAAATATTTCAACTTTGTAAATGTCTTTGCAAAGTCCCTATACAAAGGTATAGCAGTTATGGATTCTCCTACAGGTTACTAAATTGATACGAGCAAGAAAGGTATACCCTAAAAATCAAAGCACACCATGGAAACCTGCCAAAGGATCCCTCCAAATAAAGCATATTGAAACAAATTGACAAAACAAGTTTGATATGGATTAGTGCAAAATGAGATTAGTTTAAAGTTATATGTTAACTCCATATTGCTAACATATAACTTTAATTGTTCTGAACTGAACACATTCTTCCTTCTTCTGTCGCATAATAGCAAGTAATTTTTACTTCTAAGATCAACCTCTGAGAGTATACCTGACATGGAGTTTATCTGAATTTTTTTTTTTACCTACGATATTGGGCTGTAAACCAAGCTATAAAATCAACGTCTCATAATTTAACAGAAGTAGAGATGGCATTGTCTACCTTGAAAAAAAAACCTGACTCTAATGCAACTTTCCTCACCCAAGTGATTTCCAGATGGTTTAGATGACAAACCCCATAATCCCAATGAGCATAACCACTGTTGGATGGGAATGATAGATGCAGCCATCCATCAAATCTGACGGCACCTGGTTGGGGAGTGGACCCTCTGTTTTACAAACTCCAAGTACATGCTTCTTATAAACAATTCACTCTTATATTTTCAACTTATCCTGTTGATTTTAAAAAGTTTAAACCGGCACACCAGCCTAAAAATTAATTCAGGTATTCCTTTCTCTCTGAAACAATTTCTTTTGCAAGGCAGTACAGGTAGTCCTTGAGTTACGACCACAATTGTGTGGTGGCGCAGTGGTTAGAATGCAGTACTGCAGGCTACTTCTGCTGACTGTTGGTTGCCTGCAATTTGACAGTTCAAAACTCAGCATGCTCAAGGTTGACACAGCCTTCCATCCTTCCAAGGTTGGTAAAATGAGAACCCAGTCTAAGTGCTATGGCACCCAAAATTTATGTTGCTAAGTGAAACATTTGTTAAGTGAGCTTGTCCCATTTTCTGACTTTTCTTACCACATTTCTTAAGTGAATCACTACAGTTGTTAAATTAGTAACACTGTTGTTAAGTGAATCGTAACGATCTTCCGTCGTGAATCTGAATCAGTTGTCAAGCATCCAAATGCAAGTCATGTGACCATGGGGGGGGGATGCTGCAACTGTCATACGTATGAAAAATTGTCATGTCACTTTTTTCCGTTCCGTTGCCGTTGTAACCTCGAACGGTCACTAAGTGAACTGTCATAAGTCGAGGACTACCTGTACTGGTGGAAAGCCGGCTTCCCGTTTTGCACCATGCCCTTAAACTTTAGCCCACGAAGTCCTTCCTAGCCGGTAATCCCCAAGGCTAAGCGAAAACGAAAATAAAGAAAGGCCTCCAGAAGCACCCTAAGCGAGAGGCACAAGGGGCATCCCAGTAGAAGCCACTCCATCAGCCCAGCCGAGACTGGGCATGCCCGCCCGCTGGCTCTCACGACGGGGCAGAAAACAGTTCTCTCACATAAAAAGCACCGAAGCAAGCTACAGCGACGTAGGGAGGGCCGCAGTTCCACACCGGACAGACACGAAGGAGGAGGCCCTAGCCTTCCTCCTTGGAGCCAGTCCCGGCTTCAGGCGTGCCGAAGAAGGTAAAGCGACCAGACCAAGCAATCCTGCGGGCGACCTAACGCCGGGCACTCACCGGTCTGCTTCTCCCGGATGCTGGCCGCCATCTTCCCCTGGTGTTTGGGCCGACTCCGCCCCCCTCACCGCCGCGCCATCACCAGCCCGGCAGACGTGGCGCGCTAGAGGACTACGCGGGTTCTTGCGGGAGCGCGGCGGGCGGAGTCTGCCGAACTCTTGGTCGACCTGTCGGCCCTGATGCTGTTGCCCCCGGGGTGGTGGTGGTTGCTTCCTTTGAGAAAGGGAGAGAGATGCCGCGTCTTAGTAGACCGGCGTTCCCGCTCTGTTTCTTGAGGAACGGCATTTGGCATTTTTTCCTGTCGTATTCTGCGACTCGTTCCGGACATTATTCACTTTGTGGGCGACAGTTGGTCGGATGGCAGATGCCGGACGGCTGGATTGATAACCCTCGGCACTGTTTTATGGGACTTATATTATGAGTGTGAAAGCGGATCGGCGCATTTCAGCTTTCATTTCTAAACAAACCTATCGCTTCGATGCTTTTAGGGGACTAAAATGCTTCGATGCTTTTAAGGGACTCCCCCTTACATTCTAAAAGTTAAAAGAGCTGTTATCGTTTGTTCTCCAATACATTCTTCCAACTAGCGGACCCTGCTCCTGCGGGAAAAATGCTAGGAGGAGGAGGATGGTGACGACGACGTGACGGTGATGACAACGACATTCTTACAACTGGAAAGTACGCGTAGGATCTTGTTCTTTAAACTTTAGCCTCGCTTACTGCAGCTTAAAACGGAAGCAAAACTACAACTTTTCCGAATGCTAACTAAATCCCCTTATCTCTTGATTTTTCAGGGTGGCTGAGGGCTGACTGGAACTGGATTTAACATCTGAAGAGCTAGTCCCGAGGCAGGCATTGAACGCAATTGCTTCAGGAATAAAACGAAAAAGACTGCACAAGATTGTCTTTGTCTCCCCAAAATAACCAAGAATGATTTAAGTTCCACTCTTCTTTCTAGCAGTGGTTAATTATCCCTGTATTTCACAGGCAATTTCTGTATCCGAAGCCTAATTTCTGGGCATCAAATTAGATAGGCAGCTTAAGTATTTTTGTAACAAATCTTGTTTCTATATCAGAAGAGTTGGGAATGGGAGCCAGAGGTTTTCTCATCTGTAGCAAAAATTAACACATGAGAGCTGATTTCCTTCAAAGCAATTTACTTTTTAAATAAATCTGACACTGATAATAAATCAAAGGAAATTGAAATGGAAGCAAAATGAAAAAAGCAAAAGGGGAATAGGAGTTCCACCTGTGTTAGATGAGATTGGGATTTAGTTTTGGTGTAGACCCAGATCCAACCTTGAACCTAAGCAGCACTTTTCCAGATTTGATTGATGTGCTATTTTGGAATGAATCTTTTGGCTAAATGACTTTAGTTATATTCAATTTTGATAAAAAAATATATAGTGATGACACAGAAGCTATGTTCAGACAATTGCAATAGAAAAGCTTTTATTGGATCATGTAACCCCCTTATTAGAAGATGCTGTCTTAGCTTCCATTCCAGGCAAAATCCAAAATATTGGTTATGACTTCTAAAGCCCTATTAATTCCTAAGATTTTAAATTAGTTTTTCTACATAGGAACGATAACATTTTCAGTAAAAGATCTTTGTTAGAATTAAAGCTCTTGGTAAAGATTTGAGGGTTTTCTCTTTATCCGTTCCCATTCTGGAATTCTTTGTTGTTTCTGGAATTATTGTCTAATTACTGTCTGGTCATAGCCGTTCTAAAACCTTATATTTCTGAGCAAATTACTGAATGTGGAAACAAATAAACTATTACATATATTTTAATAAAATTCCAGTTTGAAAATTGAACCAGAAAGTTCAATTTTTCTTGCTATGGCTTCACGCTTTCACTAAAAGGCAGAAATAAGCCAATTTCTTACAAATTGATTATACAACATTGGCTGCACATATGCCTTACTTTCACTTTTAAAAGGATCATAAATTTAAATCTTAAATAAACTTAAACACTTAAAGGTTAGTTTGTCACATTTATGGATACTGGAAGAGACATTTGTTTGATTAAAGTTGTCCATATATGAATACAACTGCGATATTTTAAGACCAACAGCTTTTGTTACTGCTCAAGATTTAAGGAAGACATATGGAAGTCAATTTTACAAATAGATGCAAATTAGAGAATGCAATTGACTTAGTTCACACTTTTTCTCAAAAATCACGAACCCAGCTTTTGATAGCATTGACAAAATGTCTATTATTACTTTTAGCATTTGACAGTTCTCATTCTTAAGTGTAATTAGGGCAGAGGATAGGCACATACCTTTTTAAACATGCAACACCAATTGTTTAATACAGTATTAAACATGCTACACCGATTGTTTAATCCAGTATTATCAAGTTAAGTCAAGTGACATGGCAATGTTTAATTTTAGAAATCTCACATATGAAATGTCTTTGTATGGCAATCTTTTGCCATAAAAGCAAAACACTTCATATTCATTCCATTAGAATTAGCTTCACTTTCAAACTATGATTGATGTGTAAGTAATACAATCTGATGTGTAAAACAGAGTATTACACTTCTCCTGAGCCAATTTCTATATGCTTGTGTTTTGATAGAAAGAAATTTCAACTGTACTAGAAGAAACAATATTATGTAGATTCCTTGTTCATTTATCTTTTATCAGGCAAAAGTTGAATTGGCACACTATTTTAATCCTTTTTTGTAGCATATGTGTTGTTTAGAAATTAATCACTTATAAACTATTTTTATTGTTTTTAAAAACAATTTTAAGTAAAACACACACACCCCTCTCCCAAATTGGGTCTTGACTGACTTTAGGGTGTCTGAAATTAGTGGGACTTAGGTTTCACCTAAACGTTTCAAGAAATGCTTGCATCTAGATGTAACTTATAGTAATACCGGTAGTACAATTCACTTTGAAAGTGAATTGCTAGTATGGTTAAGTTTTCACTTTCAGATTAAATTCTTTTTGGTGAGACGGTGGCAACTTTAAACAACCTTTGCACAATGTTTGGAACAATAATTATATATAATTATTTTAATGCATTCCAAATAAACTATAAATAATATCCTTCCGAAGTTTTTATTTGGACATGGAAAGTACATCAATAACATTTGATCAAATTGTGTTGTATGTCCATCCTTTATAAGTTTATCCCACATTTAATTTTGTCATTGGACTCACAGTGTTTATTCTCTAAAGAACTTGGACCAACAGTACTTAAGAAATAAACATGTAACACTTAAGTAGAAACCCTTGATTTATTGCACTTTACATGGATATAGATATATACACATATAAGACAGTTCTTGCTATATTGCTACAAGTAACTTCAAAGCAAAGTACTACAGACATTGAGAGTTACAAAAGGCTTCTTGAAATAATAGTTTTACACAAACCATAATTTACAAATTTGTAACTGCATACAAGGTTTATATTCCACTTTTGTTTTCTTAATGCCAAGTTTCATCTTTCAATAGTACGCATTTCCTTTTTCACATGTATTTTTCTCAATGGATACTTGTGTTAGAAGAAATAATAGTGAATTCATGAATCTTATTTCAAGTACCTGAGCTCAAAAGGAATACTGTTGCCCTGGACTGACACACATATATAAATCCTATTAATTTACAGTGTTTCTGTTGTAATCAGTAGATACAGTATTATACAGTCTACCAAAGTTCAAATTCAAGTACTATAATCATAATTGGAAGAATGTGTGATACTCATTCTGTAAAGATAAATTACACTGAGAGATGATTAAGGCATATCTTATTTCCTTACAGTCCATCCCCATAAACTGGTATAACATTTTGCTAGAATCACATAGTAAGAGCAAAGAATGGATAAGAAGAAAAACATCTAATATCAATCATGACACTTAAGCACCATCGACTCTGGGCAACAAAGGGAATCTCAATATTTATATATTTATAGAGTATGACCGTCACAAAGAAATAGGATGATATTGCACCAATTTCACTGTAAAATAATTTGTGACTGAAGTAATAATAAACTTCGATGAAATGAAACATTCAGTAGCTAATTCTAGTTGTCCTTACCCAATATGAAATTTTGGAACAAAAATGGCTTTTTCATCATCATACCCATCCATATGTTAGCATTGTTGATAGTTTTGATTTATATTACTACCTTGTTTTCACTAGAACCAATCAGAAATTAGGCAAAATATGATCCTTATGTAGAAAAAGCATGACCAGGATCAAAACTAGCAATTCTGTACGTTTGTAAGTTATTTCTCAAATATATCTTCCTTTAAAGCAAATGAATACTGAAAAGCACATTAAAACATGTTCTAGTAAAGGCATGGTGATTTGTTATTCAAAAAGCTATAATTTCTCATTAGTCACATTGAAAGGTCTTTAAAAACTAGATATAACCAAATCTTATTCATTCACACCAAAAAGCTATTTGTATGTGACAAAACAATGAATGTATAAAGTTCACTGAAATCTTTTTGTCTACAGCTATCCATACCTGTAAAACATCTATAAAGATATGAAATGTGAGAATTACCAACATTTACTTCTGAAAATGTTTTGAACTGTTAATAAGCAATTTTTCTAAGCAGTTTACAAGAAATATCTAGTCATCTCCCAGAAAGTTTCCCCTGTTCAGTTGTCACATATACTGCTTAAACATCAAATAGAATTTTGTAACTTACATTAATTCCACTGAAAAATGAAATTAAAATATTCTAATTAATTCCAGCATACAATCAAAACCTCAGTGGAAATAAAAAAAACCTCAAAGTAGTATTTAAACTACATCTGTCAAATTTCTGCAAAAATGCCAAGATAAAAATCTCACTTTTCAAATGAAAATGTAAATAACCATATATTAATATGAAACACCTTCTAGGCAACATCATATATAAGACTATGAGTTCTAGTCCTGCCTTGGGCTGGGTAACTGTGGGTCAGTCACTTTTTCGCAGCCCTAGGAAATAGGCAATGGAAAATACTGAAAATCCTCCTTGGGGGGTGGGGAACCCTGCAGGGATTTGTCCAGATAGTCTCTGAGAATCCAACATGATTGAATGGAAAAAAATATATATATTTCAGAGTATAAGACACACATTAGTTTTTGGGGAGGAAAAGAAGAAAAAAAATTCTGCCTCTACCTACCAGCATTCATAGGTATTCATCTGGCTAGCGTCCTTGCAGCAAACAGCAAACAGCCTGATCAGCTTCAGCACATTATCGCAGCCTGATTCAGCACGAGCAACTTGTTAGCGGCTGGATCAGCCTCCCAGGCTGCAAGGATCTCCATAGCCCATCACCGCCTCCACGTGTTGTGTTTTTGGCCTCCGTGTCTTGCGTTTTTTGCCTCAACGCGTCACCACTGCCTGAAACCGGCCAAAAATGTTACGTACGGGGGCCAAAAATGTGACACACTGAGGCGGCAATCGGTGGCGATGTGCTGTGACCATCCCTGCAGCCTGGAACGGGTCTAAAATGGGGTGTGCGGAGGCCAAAATCACAAAGCGCCAAGGCAGCGATTGGTGGTGATGTGCTGTGGCAATCCACGCAGCCTGGAACCGGTCTAAAATGAAGCATGCGGAGGCGAAAAATGCAACACACGGAGGCCGAAAACGTTTTCGGCCAAAGGGGGGCCAGCGGGTAGGTGGAGCTTCGGCAATATTTGGTGTATAAGACACACAAACATTTCCACCCAACTTTTTTTTGGGGGGGGGAAGTGCGTCTTATACTCCGAAAAGTATGGTATATTAAAAAAAAATTAGCTCCAGGGTATTTACACAAGCATAGTGTTCGTGTATTCAAAAGTATGCGTAATAACCAGTTTTTTAAAAAACAAAATGAATTACAAAATACTACATACAGGCAATCCTCATCTAGTGACCATTTGTTCAGCAACTGTTCAAAATTACGCTGATCTTGCACAAATGATGACTGGCCCTTGGAGCTTTGGCTATCTCAGCAATCCTGCAGTAACATGATTGTAATCTGAGCACCTGCAATCCTGTGATCAAAAGTCAATGAGGAAGCTGCAGTGGTGGTTGCAAGTTGTTGGAGTAAGTCATTGCATCACCCCACATCCCTGACCCTGTGCAGCACCTCTCATGGACCCTTTTCCACCTGGTAGCAGCTACTTACCTCCCTGCCAGCTTGGGAGTTGCATTTTCCCTTTGGTTGTGGGAAGTTGCCAAGATGTTACCTCATCTAACAATTGTGGGATTCATTTAATAACAACCAGGACTTTAGGATTTGCCTTTGCTAACCAATGCAAAGGTTAGCAAAGTTATGCTTTACAGCCGCATTGCTTAGCAATGGAAATTCCAGCCCCAATTATTGTCATAAACTGAGGACTACCTGTACACCAGTAAACTTGTAATAGTTTCTGTCATAGATCCACAATCTTTGTCTGGTTGGGTAGCCAGAATTTAACTAATTCACACTGAGGAAAGAATTTGAATCAAATGTTATCTCAATCACATTGAAAATAAGGCCCACCAAACTGCTTGTTTACAGAAGAGGACTGAATTTGTGTAACAGTGAAATAGGAGAATCTTCAGACCTAAGTACAAGTAGATTTCTGAAAGCCAGGAAATAAATGTTCCCTTTCAAACACATTAATTCTTTAATATAAGAAATTGAAATTTGCGGTTAGAAACTCTGGGAGTAGAAGCATTCCATCCATTCTGCTGAAATATTAACTCCATCATGCCTGGAGTGCTTCCTCTACAGATGAATTCAAGCGGTTGAAATAGATATCCTATATCGGTGGTGGCACACTGAGCCATATCTGTGGGCACGCGAGCGTTGCCCTACCTCAGTCCAGCACAAATTTTCGGGCCTTCCGGGCCCATTGGAAATCGGGAAACAGACTGTTTCCAGGCCTCTGGAGGGCCTTGGGGGGGGGGGCTGTTTTCACCTTCCCCAGGCTCCTAGAAAGGCTCTGGAGCCTGGGGAGGGCAAAAAAATGGGCCTACTGGGCCCACCGTGCCATCGCGTGCCAAAAGCGGGGGAGAGTGGGGGGTCATGCGTGCATGCGTGGGGGGACGGGGCGCATTGAATTATGGGTGTGGGCACGCGTGCATGCAATCCACCCCCCACTACCCCCGCTTTTGGCACGCGATGGCAAAAAGCTTAGCCATCACTGTCCTATACCTACTACTGTAAGCTTTATTTCAAATCACTGATATACATGCTTGCCAAGGATGAAACTCTACTAATGAAGTAGCCTTATCACTATATTCCGATATATATTTTGCAGAACATTTCAGAATAGCGTACTCTATATACTTTTCACCCACACAATTAATTTTCAATAATTGAAATTCAAACAATTTAGAATAGCATGGATAAGCTCCAGAAATTTTTATTGTGCAATTTAATAAGTGACGACAGAAATAACTTTTAAATGATAAACTGCTGTGATTAATCTTTCAGCTCAGCACAACCCAACAAAACCAACAGGGAAATGTGGCCCAGGGGGAAACATAAATTTGCTTTTTTCTCCTCTTAGAAAAAGCAATGTCATATCAATCTGAATTAAAGCCATTTAAAGGGGTTGGTGTATCCATACATGTGTGTGAAAATGTTGTGTGTGTGTATAAATTATTCCATCACCTATTTCATAAAATTTAATACTCTACATGGTGTATCTGTAATGCATCCAACATAATAGATTTTAGAAAAATGAAATCAAATTCATAATCTTTCTAGTTAAGTACCGAGTAGGGAATGGCATTTCTAACTTTGGTATTTCTGGGACATATACAAAGCTAACTCATCTCAGCTTCTAAAAGTCTCATTTAAATCAAATATTTGCTACAATTTGAATAAATGTGAGGATAATTCTTAAAGCATCTACATACATTTTTTATAGTATGCATAGTCTTATAGAAGATAGTTTCAGAGTGAAACATCCTATTCCAGGTTTGAAATAGCTGCTTTAGTCTAAAACAGACTGAAGTTTAGACCTCTCCCAGTATAGCCAGAATAATGCTAGGACTCCTCTGGCAAGGGTGGAACTGTTATTTCACGGAAAAAGCACTTTTATGTCCAAACATATTACCATCTCTAACTGAAATAATAAAACTGAGTTAACAAACACATCTGACACCAATTATAGCTTTTCTGAATATAGAATTCCTACCATGCAGTTTTTAAAAATCCTTTTATATTCAAAACTATTTTTTTTAAAAAAAAATTAGAATGATTACAGAACGGAAACACAGTTATTTGGGCATAATCCCACAAATGTTCAAGACATTACATATATTTAAGAGAAAATAACATGAGGTAATCTTTAGGGTTTTCCCCCCCCCCCATGTTTAGCTAGAATAAAGAAGTTTGTGTGTGAAATTAACATCTCCTGAATCAGGAATCCACATAAATAAATCCACACTTCAAATCTTTACACAAAAACACAATGTATAAAAGTTGATATATTACAATTTGGAAAGGGTTCCTGAATGCATTTGCAGCAGTTTTGATGTGTAACATTTATGATATAAAATGGAGGGTACACCACAATCTCAAACAACCAGTTACTTGCTGGTTTGGCCAAAAAAACAAAACCCAGAACAAATATAATGCAAAATTGATTTAAAAGCTTTGTTTGCTCATCATTTTGAAACACTGTTCAAAATGTAAAGACTGAAATTATGCATTTCCATGATCAAGTTTTAAAACCTGTGAGGATGAATATGTCTGTTTTCCAGTAGGCAAGTAGCAAGCTTCTTGTGTGCTTCATCATTCAGTTTTCATTATCCATTGTAGCAACTAACATACTCTTGACTGTAATAGGGCACGTCGGATGGCAATATCCAGAACTTTTTTAAAATTCTCATAAGATTTTGTTATTGGAAGCTGTAAACAGTTAAGGTCTCTCTTTCCGATGGGATATTTTATATGCAGAAACATAACTGAAGGGTCAGGTTCAAAGCCAATGGGTGGAATACTGCGGATGCCAGTTGCAAATACTAAAATATCCTCTAGAGTTACAGATGACTCACCACCTACACCAAGAAATATGAAGATTGTTTTGAAAAAGCCATTGTAGTTAATCAAAATGTCACATTAGTTAAGAAGTTACAGATGAAATGGAATAGCATTTTGACTTCAGGAAATTGTAACTGCAAATATAATGTTAAATAAAAGTGCAAAACAAGCCTTTCTCCACCAATAATGCAACCTGATGTCTTATTTTACAGGTACAAATATATTTCAAAAGTTCCAAATTCTAGAAGTAGGCAATATCCCATTTTCTTACCTTCTGTTTCCTGTAAATAACCCATCCAGAAATCAAGACATCTGGCCTTGTCTGCTCCTGATAGACACTGAATTGTAAAGAGATCACCAAGAAGTTTTGCTGAGAGTTTCTCGGGTTTGTGACATAATATGCTACAGAATGCATCAGGATTCATTTGTATTTTTTCCAGAACACCAAGTGTTTTCAAACCTTGTCTAAAGCTTTTGGGGAAATGGAGAGAGAGAGAGAGATGCAAAGAAAGAAACTGCTATGAGTCTTTAGTGCTTTTTTTTTTTTAAATAAAAAGAACCTTGAGGACACTACCAAATTTATTTCAGATTTTTTATTTTAAAGCAAAAACGTACTAGCTACTCTCTGTTAGCAAGAGGATTTAAAATTATGCTTACTGAAATGATTCCTGTGATTGCTTCAACTAGAAAGGCAAACTCACATATTCTTACTCATAGCTTGTATTGATTCTTTATCATTCCACCCATGTAATAATAATAATAATAATAATAATAATAATAATAATAATAATAATAAAAAACAACTTTATTGTCATTGTATGTGTATACACACTATACACATACAACGAAATTTACTTAACACCCAAAGACCAGGTCCAAATATGTTCCAAATCTATTAAAATCTCTTGAAATATACTAGAAAGCTTCATAACCTTTTGCTTGAACAACTTATGATTGTTGAAACGATCCTCAAATGATTTCCAAGTGTTGAGTTACAGAGTTTTTTTTTTTTTTAACCTACTCCACATTTTACTAAAATTATTAATTTTTTAATACGACTTGATTAAAGAGAAAAAACAATTTGGTGAAAATAACTAAGACATAATGATCAATCATATTTTAATGTACACCCACAGGACATCACATAATATTTTATTGCAAAACAGTTGAAATGATTCTTAATTAGTTAAAAATTCAAAAATGATAGGAATGATTTCCACAGCAAGCAAACCTTTCAAATGGTAAAAGAGTTCTTTTGATGACATGGTGATTCAGAATCTCATTCACCAATATATTCTTATCACGTAGTGCTGTTACAGGTTTCAAACATCCAATAGAAGCAAGATAGTCAGAACAATCACTTATTGCCGATTCTAAGCTGCTCAGTGTTGTGGCAGATTTTATCTATAGAAGAAAATCAAGCATATTTGCACCATTAATGAGCCATTCAAGTTAATATATTCCCTTGGAACAACCTGTTCCGTTCCTCCCACCATACCTCCCCAGGCCTGTCATCACCATAATACTCTGCTTCATCCCATCTCCCCAATGGCAATCCCATCCCCAAATGTAGATCCCCCCAAGTCTCAAGGCCAAAGATCTCCCACTGTCTTCTACAATCATCCCTGGGGAGGGAAGCAAGCTACCCTGAGGCACTTTAACTTCATTAGTTCTGTGTCATAATGATACCCAGTAACCACCTTCCATTCCACCACTAGCATTCACAGGGGATCCCAGTCCTATTGCTCTCACCAATTGGCAGAGAGCTTCCTTTTCATTCATCTCCCGTCAAGTCCTCTTTTGGCTCTCACCCAGAGGGGAAATCAGTCCTCAGTCCACACTTGGAAACCAATAGGCCAACAGTCAAATCACGTAGCCATCAGACACAGTTAAGAACCCACATTAGGTCTTATCTTGTGGCGATGGAAGCGGCGAAGCGGGATCACTTCACCGCTCTCATTGCATCTGCAGAAAACCACCCAGCGGCCCTGTTTAGAGTGACCCGCTCTCTTCTTAATCAGGGAGCGAGGGAAGACCTCTTACAGGGCAGAGCTGAGGATTTTGTACAGTTTCTGCAAGATAAAATCGCTCAGATCCTGATTGGATTGGACTCTGACTGGGCAGAATCCATCCAGGAGACTGGGGTAAGTCTTGGGAGTAGTATCTGGGTTGAGTTTGACCCTGTTTCCGTCGATGAAGTGGACAGGATTGTGGGTAGACTGGGTGCCTCCACGTGTTTGTTGGATCCATGTCCCTCCTGGCTTGTTTCGGCTGCCCGGGAGGTGACTGGGGACTGGATCCAGGCAATTGTCAACACTTCCTTGAGGGAGGGGGGTCTTCCCCGCCTCTCTTAAGGAGGCGGTGGTTCGACCCCTCCTCAAGAAGCCTGCCCTGGATCCAGACTCACTTAGTAACTATCGGCCTGTCTCCAACCTTTGCTTTATAGCGAAGGCTGTTGAGTCCGTGGTGGCGCAACAGCTCCCACAGTTCCTGGAGGAAACAGAGTTCCTAGACCCGTAACAATCGGGGTTCCGGCGTGGGCACAGCATGGAAACGGCATTGGTCGCTCTGGTGAATGATCTCTGGCGGTCCCAGGATGGAGGTTGTTCCTCCATCCTGGTCCTACTTGACCTCTCAGCGGCTTTCGATACCATCAACCATGGTATCTTACTGCAGCGATTTGGGGGGTTGGGGGTAGGAGGCACTGTCTTACAGTGGTTCTCCTCCTACCCCTCAGGTCGCTCGCAGTTTGTATGGGCGGGGGGGGGGCAGAGGTCCACCCCGAGGCTCCTAACCTGTGGGGTGCCTCAGGGGTCAGTTCTCCCCCCCTACTCTTTAACATCTATATGAAGCCGCTGGGTGAGATCATTCGGGGTGAGGTATCATCAATATGCTGATGATACTCAGTTATACATCTCCACCATGGACCATCCTGGGGATGCCCTTTCCGTGATGTCCCGATGCCTGGAGGCGGTACAGGCCTGGATGGGTAGGAACAGGCTCAGACTCAACCCCTTCAAGACTGAGTGGCTGTGGATGCCGGCACCTCGTGTTCTAGAGGTCCCATCACTTTTGATGGGGGGGAAGTATTTGCTCCCGTTGAAAGGGCCCGCAACTTGGGTGTCCTCCTGGATTCCCGGCTGTCGTTGGAAGACCATCTGATGGCCGTGACCAGGGGGGCTTTCGCGCAGGTTCGCCTGGTGCGCCAGTTGCGCCCTTTCCTAGACCGAGAAGCCCTTCTCACAGTCACTCATGCCCTGGTTACTTCTCGCTTGGATTACTGCAACTCCCTCTACATGGGGCTGCCCTTGAGGTGCACCCGGAGGCTCCAGTTGGTCCAGAATGCGGCCGCGCCGATTGTTACAGGAGCTCCCCGTTACTCCCGCGTAACACCTCTCCTACGTGAGCTGCACTGGTTACCAGTGGTCCTCCGGATCCGCTTCAAGGTGCTGGTACTTACCTATAAAGCCCTACATGGCTTAGGTCTGGGATATTTGCAGGACCATCTCCTGCCCGCCTCCCACCGTCCTGTCTGCTCACACAGGGGTGCCCTCCTCAGGGTACCGTCGACCAGACAATGTCAGCTGGCGACGTCCAGGGGTAGAGCGTTCTCTGTGGGTGCTCCTGCCCTCTGGAATGAGTTACCCACCGAGTTCCGGACGGCCCCTGATCTCCGCTCCTTCCGTCGAGGCCTAAAGTCTTGGCTGTTTCAACAAATGGGCTGATTCTGATTCTTGGGTTTTATTATTTATTTGTCTCTGTTTTAATTGGTTTTTAATTAGGATTTTCCTTTATTATTGTATGTTTTTTAACTTGTTTTCGCCGCCCTGAGTCCTTTGAGAGAAGGGCGGCATATAAATATTTGTAAATAAATAAATAAATAGATAAATAAATAAATAAATAAATAAGATGAAAGCTACATTGACATGATCTACAGTTGCTTTCTTCCTCCTTGGGGCTACCAGGAGAGTAAGCAAAATGATCTCCATAGTAGAGGAGGTAAACAATAGTCTTCCACTGTACTGTAACACCTTTCTGCCACCCTCATATCTCTAAAGACATCAGCATCCATCAGTGATAAACAGATGGTGCAGGAAGGAGCCATGCCCACAACCACTGTTCACAAGTGCAGCTGGTATAACAAATATGGCCAGCAGAACAGAACAAATACAATCCATCCCCCAGTGAGACCGGAACAGGTCCCTTGAAGAGCAGACCGAGCTTGTGTGAAAAAAACACTGTCATGTTGAAAAAACTATGGCCAAATCCACAGATGCATCTCAGCTTGGTAGGCAAGACGAGTGCTGCAGAGTGGTTCATCCTGCAATGTGATCCTTCAGTCTGAACAAGTCCAAAAATAGCCCAAGCAGGTCTACAACTTCCACTTAGGTAAGTGCCACCTCACTCAAAAACATCCTTCAACACACCACAACACACAATCATGATGACAGCCCCTCTGTGACTCTCTCTCCTCTTTCTTACTGGAAGTTTATATATCCTACTGTCTTAAAGAGCAATTGCTCACCTTCTTAATTGCCTGCAAAACGCCTATATCAGCAACATCTTCTACTGTTGGCTTCACATTTTCTGTGCCATAGACGAGGCAGTGAAACAAGGTTTTAGAAAAGAAGCTAGGAGATGAACCTCCATGAACCAGAGAAATTGCAATCATTTTTCCTGCTTCATAGTATAAGTCATCTTTAAGAGCTGCAAGTACAAATGGTGTATTACACTTACTGAATACAACTGATAGAAACTTGTTTTAATATGAGAAACAGGTTAACCAAAATCCATTCCATTCCCTACTAGTCAGAACTGAACAAGTTTCTTGGATGAGAAGCAAAACGCTTTCAAACTAAAACTAAAAAAGTCTGGTTGCCTTTTGAAAAACATGTTTGGGACAACCATGTCTTGGATGATTGCGAATCTGCATGGACATTTAGACCAAAACATAGTATTCTTTTTTCTACATCATTAGTTAGAATTAAAAGCCTATTAGGCCAAAAAATGGCTCTTTCATCTCTTCTGAGAATTAGATATATGATTTGTTTGTGAACTTGGACATTCAGTTTAGAATCTGAGAATGTAATCAACAAGAATAGTATCATTTCTGAAATTTCATTTGTTATATTTATGATTTATGATATTTATGATGATTCTTTTTAATGTGTGCCCTTTGCTTCTTAAAGTTATTACACAGTTCACTAGTATTCTCTGTTGATAGTTAGAAATTCTGTTCTGAATCCTTAAATACCCCATCAATATATTTCATTCAATAAAACCCATATTAACTATTTAGGCATATATAGGAGGAAAAAAACAGTTCTGTTTGAGCTCTAACTTCTTTAATTCCTTTTGTTACTGCATACCCCCAAACCATTATAAGAAATGTGTTTTTAAAACCTGGAAACTATCCAGGAAAAAATTGTGATTTAGCATGAGCTGAGGTCAATAGAGGAAATTAAACTACAAGTACAGTAGCCTTGGTTGCTTAATGACTATTTGAAGTTACAAGACACTCAGAAAAAAATATTTACAACCTCTCCTTGAAGATATAACTGCCACCCCACTCCCCGGTGATGTAGTAGTATTTTCGGTGCTTGACAACCTATTTGCAATTATGACTTTAAGTATCCTGTGTTCATGCACAATTGATTACCATTTGCAATCTTCTCTGCTGGCTTCCCCAGAAAGTCAATGGGGAAGCCAGCAGGGAAGATTACAAGCTGCTGCCACCAGTGGAAGGATTTCCCCTCTGTGGGGAACTTCTGTGGGGGCTGGATAAACAATAATCTTTGGGATACAAACTTTCCTCCAGCCCAGCATTGGATTTCTCCCCTCCTCCCACTGGGAAGAACTGAGTTTCTTTCCAGTCTTTCTACTATTCAGAAACATTGTGTCCATTAGCCTCCTAGCCAGAAACTAGCAAGCATTACATTTTTGAACAGTAAAAAGGCTCATTCAAGCCTTTCTTACCTTCAAAAACATTTTTTTTTTGCAATTGTTCTGAATGGTACAAAAGAATTTTTAAAATGAGTCACACCAATTCCAGAGTATCGGGAATAATTAAAACAATATGAAATAAGACAGTATTTATCTTAAACTTGAGACAAAACTTACAATAAATTCTGTTTGTTTTGTAGTTAGGCCAAACATCTTAAAATATCACCATTTTAAGATATTCTAACAGTTAATATTAGAATAAAGGCTCCTACCTCTGCCACCATTATTTATGTCTAAACATAGCTAGCAATCAAAGCTGCATCCCCTTCCTGGTGTAAATTCCAAATATTTACCATGTCAAGCTTACCTTGGGAATCAAAGGACAGATTCTTTGAGTGGCCCCCTTCAAATAATGATGAATTCTGAAGATGAAGCATCAGCAATTGAAAAAAATCTTCCTTTGATGAGCAACAGAGATCCACCTCTATTTTATTCCTGCAGTTCATATACTTTACTTCAATAGTGTTAGCAGGATTGAAGTTCCGCTTCTGAAATCCTTTGAGAGCACTCTCCCAGATATTTTGTCTGATGATATTCAATCTTGTTGGTTTGGTATTAATCTGTAATCTTAATTCCCTCAGAATTTTGGAGACTTCTCTTTTCTGCATTCCAAGTTGCCTATATGAATAGCAAAGCATTTATTTCGGAACTTCCGCAATAATTCTGATGGCAGTATTTTATATAAAATTATGTCTAAAATTATTTAATCATTATAATAATGGCCTAATTTTAGATAGAGAAACCAAAGGATTATTCTGCATCCTAATCTGAGACATTTATTAAAGTATCTAAAATCACATTTCTATTGAGATAGCAAATGTGGGTTGTGGTATTGGTTGTAACAGAAAGTCTTGAATAGAATTCTGATTATGTAATACTTCTATTAATAGAAGTATATCTCTTTATACCTCTTGAAAATGCACTGGAGAGTAATCTTCTTGGTAGTCACTTCCAAATATTCGTTGGAGTGAAATACTTCACTTCTACAACTAAGATCACTGGATCGTAATCCTGTCTCGTAATGTAAGATCCTGTCTATCTACATGTCCATTTAGATTCAAAGCCTATATCACCAATTTTGAAACAATGTGCAGGATCCTAAAAGCTAAAATTGTATTTATTATTATTTTAAGGTACCCAGTATTAGAAGGCAAACTATTTTTAAAAACCAAACTAGTAGAGCCAGATGAGTCCAACCAAAAATAATGGGAAAGTGTTGCAAGAGAGAGTGGCATTCAATGATAGCTTCCATATACCCTCTCAGTTTTCCTGGGCCCAATTCTGAGGTATGGTTGGAGCATGCTCTCTCTTAAAATATTGAATATTTTTTTATTTGTCAACTTGGTTGATCTCTCTATGAATGGAAGGAATCTTGGGGGATAAAAGAATTCAAAAGCTATTTGCAATATGATCTAAAGAAAAGTTATGCAAAGTACCCAACTCCCCTTGTTTTTTTTAAACTCAGTCATTAAATGCAACTCTGTTAACTTACATTTTTTTAAAAGACAAATTCCTTACTGAAGGACTGATGAAGGCAGATGGGGATAAATATCTGTTATTAGAAGAGGGAAGATCAAGTTGTGAACACGGAGTAAAACCATTGGAGCACACCATCTTTGGGGACCTGAAGGGAAAAAGAACATCCCCAAGAATAACTTAATTTTTACTCAAGTTACAGATTTTTTTTACAAATCAAAAGCTGAAAACACACAAGTTCAAGCATATATATTTAATCTCAAGCCTACTTTGAAGGCAGTTCTTCATAATCCAAATAGTTCTATCTATAATATATGAAGCATTAAAGGCTAGATTTTTTTTTTAAAAAAATGACGTTAAATGAATTATGCTGGTTACATAGAAAAGCTTGTTAATATTGCATAAATGTTTACAGATTCCTTACAGACAAGAGCTCTCAGTTGCTGAGAGAGCAACCTTTCTGATGGCTAAAAAAAGCTGCTTTAAACAATTTCTAAGAGATGCATGGAATTCACCACAAAATGCTTGTTTTTAGCTTACAACATACATTCTGGTTAGTTATAATTTAGCAAAATACAGATATGCAAGAAAATAGCTTGAGCACAAATATTTGGATGATTTTGATGCAGTACAACCGACAGTGTTGTTTAACTCAAAACTGCAATTTATCTTCTATTATATTCGACAATTTCATGAAATATGGTTTGAATTTAACATTTTTTAGGATTAGTTTCAAATATTTACTATAGATCAGGGGTGTCAAACTCAAGGCCCACGGGCTGGATCTAACCTATGATGTGGTTTGATCCGGTCCATGGGGCTGTCCTGGAAAATGTAAGGGGCCGGCCTGCGTCGCTTTGGCCCAGTCTACTGGGGTCGCTTCGGCCTAGTCTACCCAATGCAAAGAAGAAACATTGGGCCAGTGTGGCTTCGCCCAGTTTACCGAATGCGAAGAGGAATTGGGCCAGTGTGGCTTCGGCCTGCTCTACCCAATGCAAAGAGGAAACATGCCAGCAGTTTGGGGAATGGCATCAAGCTGGCCATGCCTGCCAAGTTGGCCATGCCCAGTGAGTGGCATCAAGCTGGCCACGCCTACCCAGCCAGCTACACATACCCGGCCCCAAGGTCAACCACAACCCTGATGCAGCCCTCAATGAAATTGAGTTTGACACCCCTGCTATAGATTGTCAGAATGAGTGACATAACAGTATAAATTAAGAAAATAAAAGCATCAAGTTCTTGTTATGGTTATGTAGGAAAGTAAAAAGAAATGAATGTGTATGAACTCACTGTAGCACATTTCAGCTTATTTATATCATAGTCAACTTTGATTAGCATAAGTGCAACCTATGGGTAATATTATTGTTGTTCTTATATTCTTACTTTTGTACACGTTAAGATGATGCACGTGTTTCTATCTATTTTAATCACAACCACCAACCTGTGAAACAAGGTTGGGCTGACAGCCAAAGGCATGTAGCTGGTTGCTATGCCTAGGAGAGGACTAGATAACGATCTCCTAGTTTTTAATCCAGCACTTTAACTACTACATCAAACTGGTCCTCTAAACTTTTTCACATGCTTGTGAGAAGATGGAAATCACATGCCTGATATGGATGCCAAGGTGGGATCCTGGAGACTGTCTAGGGTATTTGGGTGATGGATCTTCCATCAGATTGTCTCCATCTGCTTTTTCTGGCATACTCAAGGAACGCTTTCGCCATTTCTGAGCACTTCCTGTATAACAAAGTAATCAAATGTGGGTTCCCCCCATAAATTATTAACAGCTTTCAGTTAATTCAAGCTTTACGAGCAGTGGGTTCTTACCATTTGATTTGGCAAGGATGGTCCTACATTCAATGCATTCCCAGTTTAGCTCCAAGCTTGTTAGTGAGGAACACGCCAAATGAGTTCCACTAGAACCACAATATTGACAGCGTTTTATTTCCCATTTGCTAAAAGAAAGGAAAAATGTATTATTAATTATAACATAAACTTTAAATCAGCCAAGCTACATAGGCAGTATCATTCTTTCTGAAAAGGAATTAGATTACACATTTATTGGGATGTAACAAAATACGAGAGTGAAAAACTAATAGCATTTTAAATTATTATAGGCTGCCTTTCTATCAGGAAATGAATGTATTGATACTTAACGCAACTGTTCTACTACATTTTGTTCTGCAATGCACTATTATTGAATAACTGCTAAGAAATAGGCTGACATACATTACAAATAAGAAGAACTGTCACAGAAAAAGCTATAGCAACAAACAATCACAAACCCTTTAGAGTCTAATCTATGGGCAACTCAATCCTACAGATAATCTATGCTGTCATCCTTAAAAGCTTTCTGAAAAAGCCAAATTTTCATCTTTTGACAGAAAGCTGTTAACAATGAAGCTTCAATGGAAAGTGACAAGAAAGCCTTCCCCAGACTTCCCATTAACTTCAAAGGGTACCATATAGATGAAGATCCTTCATCTTTATCTGACTGCAGATAGGCATATACTTATACTTCTTTTAAAACATAACTTTTTCATAATTATTGATTATAATAAAAAGAATTGTTCAACATTTCAAAGAAACAATGAGTTTGCCAAATACAATAAATTTGATGCAGCGATTAATAAGCTGGTCTAGAAACCAGGAGACTGTGAATTCTAGTCCCATTTTAGGAATGGAAGCCAGCTGGGTGACCTTGGGCCAGTCACTTTTTCTCAGTACAACTCACTTCACCAGGTTGTTATTGTGGAGAAAGTAGGAGGAGGAATAAATATTATATATGTTCCCTGCCTTGATTTTTTAATTCTAATTTTGTGTTTGCTACAGTTGAAAAACTACAAAGATATTAGACATGAATGGTGACAAAGACCGGATATATTACTACCTATCAGGCTCATTGTAGTCTCTTCCATTTTTGCAAAGGCATCTTTTAATATCACAATGTTGGTAACGTTGAAGAAGTTCTTGATAGGCATTCTGTTCTAGTTCCCACGAGGCATCCCTGGAATCATTTAAACATTTATTAGAATGCTTTAATTCTGCAGTTTAGCTTTTCTTGTTAAACAAGCTATAACAGCAAAATACAACATAAAAATGCACTCACACAATATAATAAGATAATACACATTTAAATGTATTAAATGTAATTTAAATCACTTACTTTTCTGGAATATGGATGCCCATTCTTAACATTTCATTCTGAAATTTTTCTTTATTATTACATACAGGACATCTAAAGAAATATACCCCTGCACTGAGAGCTTGACGCTAAATCCAAGAGAAAAATAAAGAATGATCAATAAAACTTATTTACTTCACACAGAAACAACTAAATTACTTTGAAAATTAAGGCATAATATCTGTAAGAACAAATAAATGATGCAGGTATAAAAAATTTCCATTTCCTTTAAATTTTGCAAAAACTAACTACAAGGGATGAATGAAAAGTAATGCCTTCAATGACACCAACAGATGGCGATACTAATGAACTAAAACCTCTAACATGTTCTTTAACATATGTCCTTTCACTTCAATTGGTAGAAGATCGCTGTGAGAAAAAGTTGCCTTAATATTGTTCATTCTTTGAAATGGAAGACTGAATACTCATCAGTGAGCTTTAAGCAACACTCCATGTAATTTCTGACTAAAGTAGTCCCCTCCTGGGACTTTCATTGCAGAATGTGGGGTTTTTATGGTGATGACTGCATTGACATTACTGTGTGCTGCTGAATTAAAAAATAATGGTGAACAGGAAAGATTATCTTTGTGTGATCAGAATGAAGTGGACAATTAAGATAACATGAAAAATGCTACTGAACTGGTTAAAGGCAACTGGCAGATTATTCAAAGGGACACTGCTCTCAAGCTTATCATTTAATTTAGCAGGAACATATGGGTCACGTTACCAATGTATTTCAATATACTGTAGTATCAGAAGGTTGGGCAAGATGAGTTGCAGATTATGGGCAATTTTCAAGAGTTGAAATTTGCCATCAATTGTTGTCATGCTAAGAGAATGAAGGTGATGACTTTTTTTTCATAACATTGTGACAGCCAATGAAACATGGATTTATCCTGATAATCCAGAAATGAAGTATTAGTCCATGGAATATTATCACAAAGCTACACCTGTAGAAAAAAAAATCAAAATCCCAGTTTGGCAGGAGAACATATGGCTACAGTTTTATGACACAGATTACTTCTAATTTGGCACTGCTTATGAGCTCAAAGTACTTCACTACAATACACAAAATTCTGAAATAACAATTTAACCAGAATTCGGAAGCACAAGAAGAAAATTTTGTTGCATCATGTGAACGGTAGGCCTCATAGCTCATGAGCCACTCAAGAGGCAATTGTGAAGCTGGATGTTACCACCTTACCCTATTTGCCATACAGTTCAGACTTGGCATCATGCGACCTCCATTTTTCCCCAAATTGAAGGAATACTTTTATGGGCATCTGTTTGAGTCAAATGAAGAAATGGAAAGGACTGTCATGACCTGGTTGAAGAGACAAAGTATGGAGTTCTTTCGTGACAGCTTTCAGAAGCTTGTCCATCGTTGGCATAAGGATATAGTGAATGGTGGTGATTATAAACGTAAACGTAGGTAACAAAAGAGCTCATTTCAAAGATTATTTTCCTATTTCATTTATTAAAATATCATCATATGAATTAAAGTTATGGAGATGTAGACATTACTTTTCATTGCAACCTTGTAGATCAAGTTTTTTAAGAGTTTCGTGGACCAAGTCATACATTGATTTCTGTTTCACTTCCAACCTACTCTGAATACAGACATATTTAACAATAACAATTTACAGATTTTGTTTTTAGTAGTAAAAAGGAACTTCTGCTATGTCAATCCAGACATACCTGCAAGCATTCCCTATGAAACCAAGCATTTTTACAGCATGGACTTGTCAAAATGTTGTATGTAGGTCCTTGTTCAACCAACTCCAAACATATTGTACATTGTGATGATCCTTTATAATTAGAAAGACGTTTTTGAGTGGGTCGGTGTTTCCAACAATATGACCTTAAATCAGAGAGGTAGAATTACATAGAATCACATCACTTAAAAAAACTAGAATTGTTACTCAGGTAAATCATGTACTTTAGAAAAAGATGTTCTCAGATGAAGCTGTAAGGACCAATTTGCTTTCATATTAACTGAAGTTAATGTGATATTATTAAGTGGAACTTTGCAATTTTAGAAAAAAAATAGTTTCAGTACTTTTGAAATAGTTCTGAAATAATGAAGCAAAATAAACTTACGGAAAAGTTTCTCTGAATTGGAAAAGACATCCTCTCTCTATTCCACAAGGAAAGTGGTAGCTTCGTTTGCATCTGGATGCTATACAACCAATTGAAGCACCTTTTTTCTTACAGATAGCACATTTCTAAAAAAAGGCCATATTAAATAATTGTAACTAAGAAAACTTCACCATAATACTTATAGATCTAATCTAAGATCTTTTGGAAACTTCACACTAATCTGTAATGAATTTAAATATTTTAAATAATTTAAATATTTTTGTCTTTTATTACCATTTATAGAAAAGTTCTATAAAACACTGGTATAGTGAAATCATTCATCACTGATAGTCAAATTTCAACCAATTTTATTTTTTGCCGAAGACAATTTTTAATAAATTATTAAATTCATAAATGTAATATACCTACCTACATTCTAATCTTAATATAAATTGTTTGTTTAATACATTATCAACTCCTATAACTGGCAAACACTCACTATTTCAAATAAACCATTTTTCCCCATTTCATCACCTACAAACAATATTCCTATAAATTCTATTGCCTAGCCAATCCAGAATATCACTGTATGATGTTTTGTTTTCAAGAATGTGATCCCATAAAATAAAAAGTATTTCCTCTTTTATATTAACCTTTAGTTTGTTATTCCCTCTCAGCCCTAATCAACATCAGGCTTTGCAGCAAACCAGTTGATAAACAAACGCCCATCAAATCACAACTTGGTAACTTGTAGTTAAGTAGGTGAAAGCAATCCCCAAACAAGTAGAGCCGGTAAATGTGCAGAACACTACTGTTGTTGCTATTCTGAACACTTATTTTAATCAATAGATTTTATGAAACTAAGCCACAATACTGAAGTTAAATTAAGTACTTAATGGTTGTTAGTCTGTCTAGCTTAATCTCATCTCAATTTGCAGTTCCCTCTTCAAAATGGGTTTCCAAAAGTATGGCAGATCAGCGTATTACAGCAAGGATACACGCAAGAAGAAAGTGAAGTATACCACTACTTAAATCTTATTCCAACCAGTCTTTCACAATTTTTTTTATCCTGGAGGAACCCTTGAAATAATTTTCAGGCCTCTCAGAACTTCTACACGAAAATTACAAAAAATATAAACATTTCACAATAAAATTCTCCTCTAATCTACGTTTCACCATCTTCATAACCTTAGCAAAGCAGAGGTTGACAACAGAGCCATAGCACTAAACATTCCCATTGCATTGTGTGGCATGCAACATTTAATTTTTAAAAAAAATAAAATTATCATCTTTCTTAACCCAGTTAAGAAAGGCTGTTCTAAACCTTTGTATGAAAGTTCATTTTGCAGGAAACTATAAATCTGCTTTGGACATATCTAAGGCAAAGAAGTGATTAATTCAGTTGGTTCAAAAGTAATACTGTTCTAGTTGTATAGCTGAGAACAAAATATTCCTTTTTTCTTTTTCAACCAAAATAGCTTAATTACATCTGTTACTGCTAATGTGAGCTTAGGATATATTTAAATTTATGAATATTTATAACTCCTTGGAACAGATTCATTATTCAAAATCTCTTACCAATCTTGCAGCTCGATTAATTTCTTTTTGGATATCTTCAGGTAAAAAACCATAAAAGCCTTCTTCATCTTCACCTCTCTGCCAAATCCCACTTGACATTAACTATAATAAATTTAATGATGAATTAAATCAAGTGACATTCCAGACATATCTGCATTAACTTTTCACCATAAGAAAGCATGTAATTTAATCATTACTGAGGTTTACCTGCAGTATAATTATATGTGATTTTCAGCAAATTATTGAATCATGTTTGCAATATATTTGTCCTCGCAAATATGGCAATAAAAGTTGCCATTTATTCAGCACAGGTAGTCCCCACTTAGCAACTGCAATTGGGAGCCTCAAATATGTATCAGTTATAAACTGAAAAGTCATGTGACTTACTATATCAGTTTCCACTCTGGTTGTTAACAAATCGCCACAAGTAGTTAAGTGCAATGTCACATGACTGCAACTCCTGCTTGTCTTCCCCATTTACTTTGCTTGTCAGAAATCGACTGTGAAAGTCGTAAATGGCAATTATGTGACCATGGGATGCTGTGACTGTTGCAGATGCCTGAATCATGATCATCTGACCATGGGGACATATAGAAGCTGTAGCTTTGAGGATTGTTTGTACTGTAAATCTCCTTGTCCAGTACCATTGTAGGTTCAAATGGTCACTGAATGAATGGCCAGTAAGCGAGGACTACCAGTACACCTTTTTGTATTTGGTCCACATTTCCCAGCCAACCAAAAAAATATAAAGGATTAGAACATGTTCAGATAGTTATGGCAATACTTGCTTCTAAGGAAATACAGACATGATTTGATAACAATTCCCACTGTTTGCAAAGAGGTTCACTATCAATTGTAAAGCTAGCATTGCAACTTTATTGTATAAAATGATATGCAGATCTTTTGCCACTTTCTAGTGGGATAGTTTTGAATTTTTAGTGTGGCATAATTTTAATTTTGTAATTGCTTTCTATTTAACTTTTTTATGTTCTGTAAGCTACCCAGTCACCCCATTGGGAAGATAGCCTGCATATAAATAAACAAATAAAAGATCTTTGGTAATTCTTCATCCTAAAAATAAGTTTAAGTTTTCTCTGCTTCAGCACAGTATTTGTTGCCGAGAATCTTTGCATGGTTCTGTTCTCTCATTCGCAATGAATTCAGAATACACCTGCATCCTTTTTGACCTTTCACATGGTACATTTGCACATGGAGCTTTGGCATTATTCCTGTAGTGGGGTTGTACCCCTTTGTTCCCAGGCTCAAGTTTGTTGTGTCATTCCCTTACCTCTTCTTTAAGGCACATTTTCTTTTGTCTGAGGATATCTCTTCAGCCAGGAATAACATGTATTCAGGTAACAATGTGGATTGCCTAATACTATGTATGGCCAGTAATTGGCTGAATGTGAATAGCAACCTTAAACTGAATTCAGAGAAAACAGAGGTGCCTATTGTGAAGGGTGACATTTCTCAACAAAAGTGGCAGATGATCCATGTTTTTAATGATATTAAAAACAATTCTCCATTGTCAGAAAGACTGTGGATAGTTTGAGAGTATTTCAAGATTCACATTTCTCTTGAATTTCCTAGATTGAAACAAGGAACAACCAAACATTACATCAAGGTTATGCACGTACCTGTACTCCTTTTAGTTACCAATTTGAAAGGAAATTGAACTCAACACATATTTATGATTCAATTTTGTTACATAGACATATATTATAACCCAGATATCATAAGAGCAGCCTGTAAATTATCTAACTTTCCAACAGACTCCCAAAATTCTTTGGGGGCAGCAAGAAGTACTTACCACACAGTAATAATGAACAGTGAGATTACAGTCTTCATAGGTCCTTTTTTCCCCATATTTTTCAGGACAGTCATCAGCCCGTTGACAGAATTCACAGGCTAAAAGATAAAAATAATGTTATGTGGACACTATGAAATTCTACTGGTATTTGGACATTTGTTTATTTGTTTATTTGTTTATTTATTTATTTATTTATTATATTTCTATACCGCCTTTCTCCCGTAGGACTCAAGGCGGTGTACAGTCAAGAAAAATATAGACACACAAACATCATAAAATTGCTAATTAAAATTGTTACTTAGTTTGGTCAATTAAATAAAACCCAGAATTAGATAACATTTAAAAAATAATTTGCCTGTTTGTATGTTTAGCCCTGCCTGTTGGAACATCAGGGTCTTGAGGGCACGGCGGAAAGCACGGAGATCAGGGATATTCCGTATCTCCGGGGGCTGTTCATTCCAAAGGGTTGGAGCCCCCACAGAGAAGGCCCTCCCCCTGGGAGTCGCCAGTCGACATAATTTGACTGACGGTACCCTGAGTAGTCCCTCCCTGTGAGAACGAACTGGTTGGTGGGATATATAACAAGGTAATCAGAACATCATGCAATAGTTTAGCATATTTTACAGATTTCTCTGAACTATTAAGACAAGTAAATTGTAGTAATTACAACCCCAGAAATTACTTCTGACTGCATTCATAAACAAGGCCACTTGGAAATTTAGCAAATTTATATGGTTGCATATATTAACCAAGTAACACCAGGTAGTCAACAAAACATGAATAATGAAATAAAAAATAGAATAAGCATCAATCTATTTAAAATAGTTGAGACTCCTCACAGATTCTCTATAAAGAATCTCAAGTATTTTCTGTCAGTATACCAAGATACACATATTAGGCTCTAGAAGAAAGTTGATTCAATGGATGATGGAAAAGCTTTCTGGAAGGCATGTTTCCCATGACACTGTTTCACAGAAGGTATATGGAACGTGCCCACCATACAGATGGTGTGCTGTGATGGGCTGAACCACTGGAGACAGGCAGGCCCTCAAGTTCTTGGTTCTATACCATATATGGCTTTGAAAGTGACAAGACACCTTGAATTATACCTAGAAATTTACCAGAAGCCAGTGCAGCTCATGTAGCTGTTCTCCACTGCTACCAAATGAATTCAAGGTCAGCCCTATACAGAGTGGATTGCAATAATTCATCAGGCAATGGCTCAGGCCTCAATGACTATGAACAGTGCCTCCAGATCTAGAAATGGATGTAACTAGGGTACAAAATGGTTTTGTGCAAGGGGCCTCCTGGGCATAGCTGCCATCTGCTCCAGAGAGATCTGTGGCTCCAGCAGGACTCTCAGGCTGCACATCCACTCTGTCTGTGGGCATGCTATTCCATACAAACAATAGAAGATGTCCAGCTGAAGGGAGCTCTTGAACCTCCTGCCATTTAGTCTTGCTAGAACTGAGGAAAAAAAACACCCTCTTCTTCCCCATCCAGATCTTTCAAATAAGTCTACCACTGTCTTAACAGCCTTCTCAAGGCTGGAGAACTACCAGGACTGTATATCTTTGATCAAGAACAAGACATAGTTACTGATCTGGAGAACTTAGTATTAAACTTTATTAATCCAATTAGAATTCAAAACATTAACACTGCAGTGTTTGTATAGTCATTAAAAATGCAATGATTAGTAATAATTACTACTGTGCTTGATTGTAAAAACACCCCAAAGCACATGTTTAAATTATATCAGTTCTTTTGTCACCAAGGTTACTAAGTACAGGAAAGGACAGAAAGAGTTTAGTGTTCTCCAATCTAGGAACCATATAATTTCCATAAATCCCAACCAGCATGGCTATTGCAGACTAATTGAAGGCACCAGGCTAGAAGTGACATTAATTAAATCAAACATAAATAGTTAAAAACACTTACATAGATTCTGGAAGCATCCAATAATGTTCTTACTCATTCTAGTGTTCTCCATTCAACTAAGTCATATGAGAGAAAAAAAATCAGTTGCTATGTGATATTAAACTTTTAGTCTTTGAATTATCTAAACCTCTACAGTTTCAATTAAAAACAAACTATATGGTAAGAAAAATAAAGAATTGCTCATATATATATATATATATATATATATATATATATATATATATATATATCAACTGCAACATGAAATGTGGCTTTGCTTTTGATCAGTAACTTATAGAACTTTTTCATTACAACTAATTATTTATAGCAACAGTACAATTTAGCATAAACCTGAAAGTCAGAAATGCAAATACAGTCTGTTTTTGGTTACACAAAATTACCTGGAAAAAAAAATAAGGTATTCTTTGCTGTTCTTTTGTCTCTGCAAATTTGTGGACAGTCCTGCATTCAGTCTTCATCCAGATAAGAAAGATGATGAGGAGCAAAAGAAGAAAAAGACAGAGCAAACAAGAAAGGGAAGGAGGGGTAGGGGAGGGGAGTAGAGTAGAGGGGAGTTAAATGTTTTATATCAAATGAACAAGCAAGGAGGCAAATGAGACAATAGATCATAAAGGCTAATTAGGTCACAAAGGTATTTCTCTGAGGTATTACAGTTGTCATCCAACCATTCAAGTTAGGGATCTCATAAGTCAATAGGTTATATAAAGCAAAGTAGCAAACCCTATTGGAATATAATACTAAGTGTCAAATCCAAACTACACTTTTAAAAGGACCCAAAGAACTGGAAAATAATTAAGTGAATAAAGGAAAATTTACAAAATTATGAAGTTAAATTATATTATTCTGCAGAATAATATAATTTTCCCTAGTGATGTTAACTTATGCTACATTTTGTGCTATGTGTTTGGAGATAGAGTTTTTAAATAAAACAATTTATTCTTGTCAACTGAAAATAAAATAAATGAATTTGCAGTAGTATCTTTTATCACCTCAAATACTTTAATGTGAGAAAATAAGACAACTTCTATTGGTTGAGGAATATAATATACATGCAACAACTTCAATATTTGTATAGGGAACACATGTAAGGTTCTTATCTTGGTTAAAACTGTAAATCAGATGGAATCTGTATTCTTCTTGAAAACAGGAATGCAGAGGTGTCTACAGAAGCAGGCAAAAGCCCTATCTCAGTATTTCAAATAATTTCCAGTCCCATATTTGAGAGTTATCCCCCAATTCCCAGAGCACCTTTTCTAGAAATACAGAAGAAAAAAAAATTATAACCCCCCTCCCACACTTTCAAAATAAGTGTCCTGTTACTAGTCAGTATTCCAGTAATAAAAAATAACATAATTGGTGTTTGAGAAAAATAATAAACCATTGATTTTCCCATGATTATTTTGAATACAGTACTAATGCAGTATTGATGAACATGCAATTTGTATTTAGTTTATAAATCTTTCAAAGAAAATAAGAGGCTTTGGAAAGTTAATTAGTGGGTCTATACAATAAGTTAATAAGCAAGAATGAACAAATTTTAAAAGTTTGCATACACACACACAGAGATGAATTCTAGGATTTTTCCTTTTTGTTCATTCATGAGTCTGGTCTGCTTTTTTGCATACATTACAGAAAAAGGTACATATTTCATTTATTTATGATCTCCAAGGCAAATCTTCAGCTCAATAATAACTGACTGTGACTTTTCAAAGTACTCACAAAATTTAAAGCTGTTTTCCTATAAGCTTGTGTAAATGATAGGGGTCTTGTGTTCTCCGCCTTGACTGAATCTGATCACCAATCTTGCTCCATCTGCACTCTTTAAGGATTAGAAAAACACAATGATTATTTATCTGAAAATAATATTCTTTATTAGTAGTAAAAATCTTATAAAGTAAAATGTTAGTACCCCTATGAATCAAAAATAATACTCAAAAGAATCTGATTCTACGGTATATGTCAGCCTTCTACCACCTGAACATTCTTCAGATGTTTGGACATCTATTTTTATAATTCTTAGCAGTTACCAAGGTGGTTGGAAATTTTAGAAGTCCATACACAATTAAAGTTATTCTATGGTGTTTTTAACTGCTGTTAGTTGCCTGGTCCCTACAAGCCCTACTATGCTGCCTCATCATGATGGTGGGTGTTCCTGGCAAAAATCTGTGAAGAACATATATTCTCAGTTTGATGACCCAAGGTGTAGAGATTATCCCAGCTATCCAGCAAAAGCAAACAGGTACCTGTGCTAAGCATTAACAAAATAGGAAGATGTTGGATGCAGATTATCACTTTAGCAGCAATGGCAAAGGCATTATTCATACTGTGAGAGAAGGCAATGGCAAACTATTCTTATATTTTTACTAAACATCACATGGATAGAAAATGATTGACAATTTACGGAGAAAATCTATATGGTTGCTAAGAGTCAACAACTTCTTGATGGAATATATTCAATCAATCAATTGTCCAGTCACATATTTGAGATGGGCAGTCATATAAGTTGAAATATAAACAAATAAATTTGATGGCTTCATTTCATAAAACCGCAGCTGGTATGTATAAGGCCAACTTGATGTATTTATTACATTAAATATATTTCATTGGTGAGAAAAGGGTTTGGACAGCCCATTCTGAAGAACTAAGGAATTATCCAGTGAAATATGCTTGGCCACACACTAAACCAACTTCAGATTAGAAAAAGAAGAATTTCATTCCAATAGCAAATAAACAGAATATTAAATAATACATGTCTGCACAATTCAAGTATTTAACTATTTCTTCTTTGGTGGATGATTTCAAATTACAAGTAACCTTACTTCTTCTGGTGCCTCTAAAGAGATTCTTTTCCCAGTAAGGTCCTCTGGTATTCAGGGTAGACAAGTTCCAAGTACTTGAACAGTGATATCATCTGTACAGATAGAATTCCCTGGAATTTTAACTCATTTGGGACTATCATGGAGTGTAGAAGTTACCATACACTCTTAATTATCTTTAATCACCTCTCTCAAAGAAGAAATTTGTAGGATACTGTTACACTATGATCTTCCACATTTCTATGTGCAGAGATATGGAAAACTGAATTATCCACTGGCAAATGTGATTTCTGTATTAGGGCTATAATGATAGAAACAGGCACAATAGTGCTTTTAACATGAGCAAAACTTCATCGAAGTGTTAAAGTGACCATATCCTTTGCACGCCTCATGTTCTTGTTTCAAAAGCTGACCATAGTTGCTTCCAATGCTGTACACACAGACTAACCAGGAAGCCTTACCAATCCTTATCATGCCAATGTGCTTTACAAAGCATCTTTCTGGAACCTTTTGCACATATACTGCAAGTTCAATTTACCTGACCTCAATTGATGGATTTTACATGGGAAGAAATGTTCCACAAAGATTAATTACATTTAAACAAATTACATTCAAACAAATTATAAATGTAATATCATTTATAAAATATCATTTATAAAAAAATCATTTGATATTTTATAAATATCATTTATAAAAAAAATCTAAAATTGTGCAAATGAAACAAATTATTGCAACTAACCTACTTTTCAATTAAATAATCATCTGGAAATAATGGCATCGAATTAATTTACTAAAATGAAGTTAAGATAGTACTTTACTTCCACTAAATTCTTGGAATCCAGGTAAATGGCAGCTTGAATTTGGCTAAGAAAAATGAATATTTCCAGATTTGATAAATAAATCAGACAGCAATTTTTGAAAGGTGGATTTCCTTTTTTTATTTTGTATATTAAATACCTTAATATTTGACACCTGTCTTCTCAATTCATGCTTTAATTACATTCTAAATGAAATATTGTTATAGCATCAAATAAAGCAAAACACCTGCTTGTTGCAGCTGTAACAGTATCAAGAAAATAAAGCTGTACATTATAATCATAAAAATCAAAAAGACAATCTACGGTAGTGAACATAAGTGGCATTAAAAATCAAGTTTACACTGCCGTGAACAAAACATTTCCAAGTTACTCAATTTTAAATAAAACTATTTGTAACAAACAAAACAAGAGAATTTTAGATGCATGTTTTCCATTACATTAAGGAGCAACAAAGTGTGTGTTCAGCAGCTTTCACAAATGCCATCTCAGTTCACAGTATGTGCTTTGCATTTAAATAAGAAAGGGTCTTAAGTTCATATTGTAGCTCTGACAGGCTAATGTTACCTTTTTATCTTTCAGCAAAAAGCTTTGGGGAGGTGAACAGCAGTGTCCAAGAAAAAAATATCCGGAATATACAGTACTATGTTCTGCAAGTTAGAAAATATCTAATTTTTGAACTTAGAAAGTACCAAAATATTTCATCCTAATGCTCAACTTCATTCAGAATTAAATCCCACTTAACACTGGATATTTCCTAACAATTAGTAATTTGGATTCAGAGTTCTAGCTTCGAGACGGTGTTTTTCTGTTCAATTGTGTCCAATTCTTAGGGACTGCCTGGGCAAGTGCCTGATGTTCTCTTGGCAAGGTCTTTTTAGAAATGGTTTGCCATTGCCACTTTCCTACAGCTGACAGAAAGTGACTGGCCCAAGGTCACCCAGCTGGCTTCATGCCTAAAGCAGAACTAGAACTCACATTCTCCTGTTTTCTAATCTGGCTCTCAGAGAGTGTTTTAGCTATGTCTAAAACATAGTAACAGAACTTCTGCTATCAAGAAAAATGGATGTTACCTTATCAGATAATGAAATGTTGGCCAGCAAATAACCAAGCTCAGAGAGCACCAAGGACTGCACAGTTCAACCCTGAGCTACATATACTGTATATTCTCTTTTATTTAAACATAGAATTTGTTTAAGTTTTGGTAAATAAACTGGAAGGATAAAACACAAACCATGATTTACAGACAACAGTTATGTTCAGATAAAATACTGAATTAAAACCAAAGTTCAGTCTTGATTATCACATGTAAATCTGCAGTGTCAAGCACATAGTTTTGATGGTATAACATATTATACACCATATTTTCAACACCCCTGTATATGATTGCCATAAAAAAACCACAAACTCCTCCTTAAAGATTTTTAGGAGAACTAAAAACTAGATTAATATTCTGTGTAGTTTTATGGGGCAAAACCTATACTGGCAAATTATGCACAGATTTTTTGATTTATTTATTTTTTATACCGCCCTTCACCCAAAGGACTCAGGGCGGTGAACAGTCAGAATAATATACATATAATGTGAAACAAAAATAATTTAAATTAAACCGATTTGGCTCATCAATTAAGATCCTCAGCGTAGAATTTAGATAAACTGAAAATTTATGCCAGTCCGGCTTGGTGAAATAGAAAGGTCTTCAAGACACGACGGAAAGTATGGAGATCTTCATATCTAAAAAGGCTGTTGTAGAGTTGAAAAAAAAAAAGATGTTGTCCTTTTTCTCTGACAAAAGCAATCAAAATGAAAGAACCTGGAGCAATTTCCAGGGAATAATTATAATTTTAATTGACCAAAAATAATAATTACTTAGTATATTGTAGAAAAAGTAGGCAAAACAAGTAACATCAGGGTGGATAAAAATCAATGTTTTTTTAAAAAAATCAAAAAAATCAGATTTTTTTAATTTAAATCGGATTTTTTTTTATTTAAATCGGATTTTTTTTTATTGAATTTATTTTAATAAAAAACTTTTGGGCTAAAAATCTATCGTAAGATAGTTTTCTATTTAAGATACATAAATAATTTAGTTTATTCAGCATGAAATGGAGCTTAGTTATGTAGCATGAGGCTGTATATTCTGCAACACTGGGACTATCAGTGAGTCAACAGTGGGTCAAAGGAGTAGCAGAGATGACGGCTGCTCTTTAAAAATTATGATTTAAATCGAGTTGATTTAAATCAAGCCTTTTTACTAGTGATTTAAATCATGATTTAAATTGTGATTTAAATCAAATCGATTTAAATCAAATCCACCCTGAGTAACATACAGAAAATAAAAGTTTTTCTCCATTCCTGATATAAAATTACTACTGTACCATGTAACGTGTTAGACCAAGTAATCATGCTATCAACTATAAAAATTCAAAATCATGGGGATGACATATTACTTCTATGATCCAAAGCAGTGTGCTATATAATATCCAATACTGAGGAACATAAATGGCAGAATATCAGTGTGTTTATGCTCTACATAGGAGTTTGGCTTAGTGTTGATCATTGTAGGAAGAGTGTCTTATATTTAGACAAACTTTTCTGCTGTGTTATAGCATTTATATACTTGACAATGAAAAATGTTAGGAAATGTTGCAAATGTCATCTCCTTTCTACGTACAAATGGTATGAGATGATTATCCTATTCTCAGAATGGCTTTTTTTTACCATAGGATGATTTGCTTTTACTACCTGGGTAGCAGTCAAATATGCAAAATACTGGAGTGGCCCAGCTAGATCAGACAACCAATTAAATAGCAATCTGTTTCCTATACCGTAAGATTAGATGCCCAAAAGTTCACAAGTAGAATACTTTTTTGACAGAACCATCATATAGCACTATTAGCTCTCAGAAACACAACAGTCAATCCACTTTTGTCATTCCTCCTAAAATGGCAACTTGCTTTAAAATAAGTCTTTTGCAGTTACTCTGCCCTTTGTCCCATTTTCCTAACCTAACTGAAGACCATGTCTTTGAGAAAAATATTTTAGGCTACTATAAAAAAAAACCCCTACAATACAAATTCTTACTTGTTTACAAAAGTAATTCAAAAATGTAACTGAAACAAGCCAAATGGTAATGACTGCAGGAATCTATCTTGAAATTCTTTCAAGAAATCCAAAGAACTATTTTAATATATTGTACAATAAAACAGGAGAGGGAAAGCCTTTTCCTAGTATTAAGATGCCTCCACACAAGTTCAATACCACAGATGTCAACATTCAGACAAATGCAAGAAATTGCCCTAATTATGGAACATGTTTTCAAGCTTCTATGCCTGAGTCAAAATGTAGCTAAAGGGACTGTTTTTCTCTGTGCGGAAGTGGTTGGGAGAGAGAATTAGGGAAAAGACTCTGGTTGCTATAGGGAAAGGACACCACTGCTATCGGGAGGCAGAGAAAGTCCTGGGAAGATTTGTGGGAAGGTAGACAAGCTAAAATACGCTGCATTTGAGTATTAGCAAAAGCTCTGTGGAGAGAGGAAAATAATGAGCAACTGGATGGGATATGCAGTGCTTGGAGTAAGTGAACCTCTTCCCTCCCTTTAGTTACCTAAAGATTAAACATACCAAGGAGTATCAATTGTCCAGAGACGACAATGCTACTATAGGGGTACACAATTTGCTTAAGGAGCAGCCAACGGATACAAAGGTGTTCATGATGCCAACCTTTTTTTTTGTTCAGATCCAAATACTGTGCATCACTACTTCCAGTCCAACTTTTGTATTGACCAAAAACACTGCTATCTGGCTTTAATTTCAGCTTTTTCATTCTCATCTATTATCTAACTTAATATTCAAAACTGTCAATTGTTTTTGGATTTTAGGGACACATTCAAGGTATTTATTTGCATAGCTGTCCACTAGCATATGACTCTGGCCTAATAAACAATTAAAATACAAGATAAATATTCAAATAATCCAATAATTAAACTAGTTAAAAACTAAAATAACACCTCACTCCAAAGCTGAATCACCACCCAACCCTACCAGATAGCATAGAACCTAGATTATTAGGGCAGATTGTTACAAAATGTCCCAGTAGCGCAGATAATCTATTAAGAGAGTTTTAAATAGGTAAAGCAGGGAAAGAAAGACTGTCACAAATGAGAAATTAAGTGGAAATTAGGAACAATGACCTTAACGAAGCCTGCAAAATTATTAACCTGAATATTACTTTGGAAAAGCCTCGCCGCGTGTCTCTCTTTTCACAAAGAAATCCCAATTTACGTCATCCTTGCAAGTAAGAAGGGAAAGAAACACACCCTATTTCTGCAATTCTCACACGAGTTACTTGGGAAAGCAGGACCGATTTGAACAACTCGCGAGTAAACAACTGCCCAAAGAGGCAAAAGGAAAAAAAAAAAAAAGAAAAAAGGCGGTGGGACGGGGAATCTCGCTTACCCATAAAAATTCTCAGCCTTTGGCTTCGCCGCAACAAAATAGTAAACCCTCAAATCCGGGATTTCGTCTTTTAAGCCGATCGAGCCTCAACAAACTGCAGCCCTTTTTTCCTCCATTTCTCCTTTTGTATTGTTTTACTCCTAATATTCACCTTTCGGGGAATATATCCCGCCGAGTTTGACGGGCTTACTCCATAGACTGCAGTTCCCTAATTTAGCATAACCAGGGAAAGTAGCCAAGGAGTCGCGCACAGCAGCTCCACCGAAGCCACGACGGACAATTCGGAGTGCAAAGAAGCGCCGCACAATAAAATAAATCAAGCAATCCCTACGCAGAAAAACCCTTCAACCCTCTCTGTGCCCTAGTCCGTTCGCCCGAGCCGCCCAGTCGCAGAACCTTCTCCCAACGCACAGCCCGATCTGCAAGCCTCACCTCCAAGACGCGTAACACGCCCACGTCCGCTCGAAAATAACCGCCGCGCTATTCAAACTCCGACATCCGCTTGCGTCAACAAATAGAGGCACGAATGGAAGAAAAGAGCCCCGCCCCCTTTCTCCGTTGTAAACTACATCCATGGAACCGATGTTCTACTGCGCTGGTCTGAATAGAATTCTTCGAGCGGAGGGAGGGGCTGGTGGTGAGGAATTCTTTGATTGGATGATTGGCTGCTTATTGGCTAACTATGTCGGGAGGGGGAAAGAGGCTGGGCTAATTTTCCGTCTCTCTTCATTCAGTTTTTCGGGGAGGGGTGGAATTTTTTAGCCATGTGAATTTGTCAGCCGGGGAAACCAGTGGGTCTTGCCGGACTTTGAGCCTTGCCTCCACAAAGGAACAGTTCTCAGTATGCGAAGTTGGCAGAATCGTCCGTGATTCAAATCCTCATCGCTCCGGGACCTTTAAATAAGTAACCCTCAACACAATGCATAAAAAAGAATGAGCTGGAAGGAACCTTGGAGGTCTTCTAGCCCAGCCCCATGCTCAAGTAGGAGAACTTATACCGTATAGAACACGTTTACTTGGGAGTAGCCTCCTTGTGTGAACCCAGTCCATGTTTGTTGGAAGGGGTGCATAGATTGTAAGGGTTTATTCAGCGAAGTCCTGTCTCCCCAGCCACTCGTAAAAAAACCCCCACTGATTTTAGTGAGGCTTATAACCCTGAATCTTTATGCCAATTTTATCAACATTTATTTGCGTCCTACCTTTTATTATTTTTACAAATAATAAACGTTGGCGAACGTAGCCAACACACCTTTATCCTATTTTCCCCCCATATCGACAACTATGAGGTGGGCTGACAGAGAATGACTGGCCCAAAGTCAAGTTAACTAAATTTAATGGATATTATTGTAATGCACCATTGCGGCAAGGAGTTCTCCGTGTAACTAGTATATACCGGTACTAACATATTCCATTTGAAAGAGTGTGAGGAGGCAGTTATCAGAGAAACTAGGCTTAAATCCATTCCAAGAAACTAATTTGAGAAAAGTCTCAGAGTGATAAAGGAGAATCACTAACTAACTGCAAGAATCAGTAACTATAGCTAACGTAATACAAGTGGTTTTAAACCTATGTGACACTGTTTCTTAAGTCTGATCTACCCTATAGGGCTGACACCAACAGAAGACATTGTTTTATGGAAGCATGCCCAGCAGAGGTGGGTTTCAGCAGGTTCTGACCAGTTCTTGAGAACCGTTAGTGGACATTTTGAGCACTTTGGAGAACTGGCAAATACCATCTCTGGCTGGCCCCAGAGTGGGGTGGGAATGGAGATTTTGCAATATCCTTCCCCTGGTGTGGGGTGGGACTGAAGATTTTGCAGTATCCTTCCCCTACCACACCCACCAAGCCACGCCCACAGAACTGGTAGTAAAAAAATTTGGATTTCATCACTGGAAATAGGTGGTTATGCAAATAAACTGTCACTGTGCCATGAAGAGATTTATTGGTGATAATATAGGTGATACTATATTATCTGGATATAGTATCCAGAATTGAATTATATCTGGAAGTCTATTAGTAGTCAACACAGGTTGACTGATTAACAGGATGGAGGAGAATGGCATTGTGCCTGCTCCCATTACTTCTTTTTTTTTTTGCATAGTATCTCATGAAACTTAATTGTAATAACAAATTAGAATATAAATTGAGCAGCACAAAATATGTAAGGGCATTGAAAGTGTTGGCCCACCTGAAACCATAATGGATCTGCTGCTAGACCCCTTGCAATTTGCCTAAAGTGCAAATAGATCAGCTGATGCTGTCAATATGACACTGAACTACATCTTACAACATCTTGAATCCCCAAAAACTTATGCAAGGGTTTTGTAGACTTCAGCTCTGCATTCAACACCATCATTCCAGAAATCCACTCTAACAACGGGTTTCAAACTTGCAATGTCACATTGTCATCACATGAGATATCAAAACTTTTTTCCCCTTCGCTAAACGGGGGGTGGTGGGCATGGCAGCACATGATGCACCTGGGCCACACGTTTGACACACCTGTTCTAAACTGACTCAGCTAGCTATGCCTGACCACTTACAGATGGATTATAAGCTTTCTAACAGATAGGAAGCAGCAGGTGAAGCTAGGTAAAATCTTCTGATTAATTATTGTAACTATGATTTATGATCTATGACAGTGATGGTGAACCTTTTAGACACTGAGTGCCCAAACTGCATGCCAAACTGAAAGACATGTGTCAATGTGCACATGCACAGACATGAACAGCGCAGACATGCGTGCAGATATGCGCATGCACAGAAATGCATGCATGTGCAGCAGAGACTCAAAGATCAGCTGGCTGGCGGGAGGCGGATCATCCCAACACTGGCAGCACGGCAAGAGGTAAGATCTTTTTCTTTTGTGAGCTTCTGTTTCGTCGTTTGCAGGGAAACAGAAGCTCATGAAAGAAACGCCACGAAGATCTGACCTGGGGCGATGGCACGCGTGCCAGCAGAGAGATCTCTGCGTGCCATCTCTGGCATGCGTGCCATAGGTTCGCCATCACAGATCTATGACCTGTCACTTTGTTGTATGTATGTACTTATGCACTGGAGACAAATTCCTTGTGTTGGAATTTGCCAATTTGGCCAATAAAGAATTCTACCTATCAAGAAAAAAACCAATATAATGATATTTGAACAATGGAAAAAAAAATACAGCTGAAGGAAATGTCTCTCTTCTCTTAGGTAGACAATTTCCCCATAAAAGGATAATATTTGATAGAAAAAAAAACCAAATATTTTTCCTCCCAGACATTTGGATAAGGATTCTGTCACAATACAGTATTTATGTTCTCTTGGGACTTCTACTTTGTTTAAAAAAGAGCCAACTGCAAGAAATATTTCAGTTACAGTGTATATATTTTCTGCTAAAATGTTTTTCAGAGCTAAAGACTTTGTTTGTTGGCTCATTACTGAATGATTTTCACCTTAGGTTCATACATTGTGCTAAACAATGGTTTAACTATGGTTTACTGAATAACTGGCTGGATTTATATAATATACTGAGCAATAAACCATGGTTCACAAATCCTAATATGTATGTTCACACAATACACTGCCCAAAATAAATCATATTATTTATGGCAATGTTTTCATGCCACACCCAGTTAACAAACAATGCATTCCACCATTTTACTCCTTACGGTATCAGGGGTGGTATTCACTTACCTTCACTACCGGTTCACAAATGTGAGGGTTAATTCTGTTCCTGGGGGTTAATTCTGCCAGAAAAGAGGAAAAGGAGAGTTCCAGGTGAATTATTTTTAGCCTGATTCCCCTTATCTTAATGGCTCTACTTAAGTATTTCTATTGTCAGCTCTGTTAGCAAATACTGTTACTGTTGGTTCTCTCATCTCAGAGAAGGCTGCGACTGACATAGCAGCCAAAAATAGGCAAAAAATGTCTCTGGATATAGATATTATCTGCTAATAAAGCAGTAGCTGTGAATTCAGAAGAATTTATCCCAGTCCTAAATTATTGATTTGACCTTTGTGGGAAGTGTTCCCCAGAGATCAGTGCCAGGGATCTCATAGCACCAGAAACCTCAGAAAATAGTGCCAAGAGATTCAAGCCAGCCCTTCCCCCTTTAAGAAAACCAAGAAGCACCAAATACACTCAGTCTAGAATGGGCTTCAGTTTCCCCCTTCAAGAGGAATGTGTGTGGCTGTTTGAAAATACTCCAGTGGTGTCCTATCCCTTGAAAGACTTTTCCATCAGAAGTCCTAATTTTCTGTTTTTCAGGAAAGCACTGAAAATTGACTTGTTTAATAGAGCCTTTTGGTGTTTGACTAATTGTTCACATTGCTCTGATGGGCAGAGTATGGAAAGTTTGTGTTACATTCTATTGCTATTTAAATGCGGATGTGGGTGTTTATCTCATCTTACAAATTGTGGCTGTTAACTTTCACATTTCCTAATTGCCAACCCAGCATTTCTTAGGGGTATCATTTTGGTTTTCTTTACTATAGAAGTTTGGAAAATTTCTCTATTATAGTTTTCCATTCTTATTTGAGTGTTTTGATATAAAAATAACCTCTGGCTGTGCTGGGTGCTTTTGAAATTCAAACATGCCACCTTCTTAGCAGCAGGGTCTCCCCTCCTCCCCCCCACCTCCCCAAAAACAGCAATTTAAAATCTCTTGTTACCGGATGCCTGGATAATAAGTAGCTACAGGAGCAGTGGTGTAGCTGGAAATGATATTTCCTCCTACAATTTCCCATGGAGAGCTCAGGTGTTAGTTTCAGGTTTCCATTCTTTGGCCCTAATCTGGCCCACAATGTAATGTGCTTGAATGAATGCAACACCATCATGTCACATTCCTTCATCTTTGAAACATAGCTTGTTTTTCATTTTCTTTTTCTTGGTTCATACTTTCAGCATCCATCTGAAAGTGAGTTCATGAACCTGATGAAATGTGAATCAACTGAACCAAATTAAAATCTGGTCATTGCTCTCTCTGGTAAAATATATATTTTCTTCCCCTCACTTTTTAGATTACTCATCTAGTTGGTATTAATTGTAAAGTGAAACAGAAAAATATAATAAATATGTATGCTGATGGTGACTTGCCTTGCCTTAAGAAACAGCTTTCATAAATAGTAATAAAATGTATTGGGTAAAACAACTACTGAGTCTTGTTGCATGCATACATTCATTTCAGTTATAGATTTGTTTACTTATCTATTTAAATAATTTATAGTGCCGCCCATATCACTAAAATGATTCCAGGCAGATTATAAAATTATAACAAAAAATATTTATGGAACAAAATGCAAAAATCTATACATCTATAAAAACTTCAAATTTTATGGAATGAGTTTTTATTTTGCTAGTTTCTTCTACCACACTGCTATGGTCCCATTTTGTTCTATTTTCAGGGAGGTAGCCTGCTAAGGGATAGATGGACAGAGTTCTGACCTATGGTGAAATCCAATTTTTTTTACTATCAGTTCTGTGGGTGTGGCTTGGTGGTGTAGTGTAGCTTGGTGGGCGTGGCTTGGTGGGCGTGGCAGGGGAAGGATACTGCAAAATCTCCATTCCCACCCCAATTGAGGGGAAGGATATTGCAAAATTTCCATTCCCACCTCACTCTGGGACCAGTCAGAGGTGGTATGTGCTGGTTATCCGAACTGCTCAAAATTTCCGCTACCAGTTCTCCAGAACCAGTCCGAACCTGCTGGATTTCACCCCTGTTTCTGACACACTTTACATAATTACTTTCCAACATTCTGTTGGGGTTGAAAGAATAAAAATGGCTTTTTAAAACAAGATTCAAATGGAAAGAATGAATATGCTTAGCAAAAATACAAAAATGTTGCAGGTAATGAAGAAAAGATGAAATTACTCAACTCTTATTTTGTCTCAGTCTTCTAAAATAGAAAATACATATTCTCTCAGAGTACAGAATAGTATGATGAAACAGAACTGAAGTTTGAGACTAATAAGATCAGAAAATATCAATTTACTCACAATTCAAATCTCTGAGATCAGATGAGCTTCATCCTAGTGAATTAACATTAATGGTCCTGTTTTTATTCTCTATACTACCATGTGCCATATTTACTAGAGCCTTTTGACTGTTTTACCTAATTTAAAGCATATTGGAAACAACCTTTAAGCTGATAACTCTGTAACATTTGTTTTCCTATACTTAAACTTGTACTACGAGGCATATTCCCAAGTGTGTCTAGAACACAACCTATATACAGGGTGAAATGCTCCCGGATCGGACTGGATCGTCTGGTCCAGTAGCGATCTTGGCTGGTGGTTCTGCGATCTGGTAGCGATGGTGGAGCAAAGCTCCGCCCACCTGCCCAGGTGTCATTACTTCCTGGTTTTAACCAGGAAGTAATGTGTTTTTTTACCTTCTGTGCATGCACAGGTTTTGTGCATGCGCAGAAGGTTTGTGTGCGCACTTGACGGGCGACTCGTGCGCTTCCGAACCGGTAAGAAAGGTAAGTAGATTTCACCCCTGCTTAGATGTCTATCTAATCTGCTCACTAACATTTCTTACTGCCACATCTGACTATAAATACATGGTCTATTTATGGTGCAAGAATGGATAAGCTACTTAGTGATTTTACCTCTTGAGGGTGAACTTGCAAAGGAAATTGACTTTGGGGATTATTTTGCAGTGAAAATGATTATTTTTCCAGGAAAAATAAATCTTTAGAGTAAATGGATCTATTTATAAAATGCTGGCTGATGAACTTTTTTTAAAATAAACACATAAAAATATTTACAAGATAATGAGTTTATTAGGACTAAGTAGAAAGTTAATCAGCCCTCAATTCTTTAGGAATGGATATATTGCTAAATAAAAACATTAAAAAGTCACGATGGGCCATGATGTCATTTCAAAAAATGTAAATTAAAATAGATCCATTCTTTCATGGATCATAGAATGAATATGGAGTGTTTAACTTCAGAGTTGGAAGGGACCTTAGAGGCCTTCTAGTCTAACCCCCTGCTCAAGCAGGAGACCCTATACCTCCAGTGATGGTGCAACAACAATTTTTGAACGTAAGCTGTTCCACTAGTTGATTGTTCTCATGTCAGGAAGTTTCTCCTTAGCTCTGGGTTATTTCCCTCCTTGGTTAGTTTCCATGTATTGTTTATTGTCTTGCCTTCTGGTGCTTTGGAAAATAGGCTGACCCCTTCTTCTTTGCAGCAGCTCCTTAGATATTGGAACACTGCTATTATGTCACCCCTTGACCTTCTTTTTACTAGGCACACTCAAATCCTGCAACTGTATTTCATATGTTTTAGCCTCCAGCCCCCTAATCATTTTTGTTACTCTTCTCTGCAGTCTTTTCTATTTCCATGCCAGCTTGCAGATTAGTGGTTGTTCAGGAGATTAGAAAGCAAACCAGTAAAAACGATCTAGTGAGCTAGTAATTTGTATATGTTTATTTCAAAGGACAGTAGAGGATGCCTATATGACTAATGTGATATGATCTCCTTTAAAGTGTTATGTTCACAAGTTTACTTTCAGAGAGCTATGTGTTTGCCGTGGTTTATTTCATCCATTCATTTCCATAATGGTGTCATATGGCAATGACATGTTCACCTTTATGTAATGGCTCCACAAGAAAGCACCTTTCTCCTTTTGTGAAGCCCGAGGTATGTGGGGAGTTCTCATGTCAGTCTAGATGATTCACAAGGCAGAGTAGGCTGTGTGCCCTATATCAATGCAATTATATAATCAGTACCTGTAACTGAAATCATTCTTCACTCCCACTGGTGAAAAAATATGACAATAAATCTATTCTTACTACGATTTTGCTCCATTGAAAATAATTACATAGGCAAAAAACCATATTTAAAGTATTACCTTCACCCCAAATCTAAAACTTTTTGTTCTCCTTAGGCAGTTTGCTAGAAAAAGAATAAGACCATTACTGAACAGCAAAGTATGTAATTTTTTTTCACAGCAATTTAATATGGCCAAAAAAGGAGGCAAGACTTGATTTGATTAGTTAATTGAAGGTCCTGTAAATGTCAGCAGTGAATTTCTGCAAACCTGCTCTTTGATTCAGAGACCACTTTCATAATGAAGTATATACTTCATTAAGTAATATATGTAGATGGACGCATATGCACACACACTCAATTTTCAAACAAAAGTTCGTATTCTACTAAAGACACTCCACAGAAATCAGTGGTGGAATGCTGCTGGTTTAATAACCGGTTCGGTGAGTGTGCGCTTCGTGCTGAAAATGGAGCATTTAGAAGCTCAGCTGCTTACCTTCCAAGTCAGCAACGGTAAGTAGAACAGTGATGGGAAAGAAAATCAGCTGTGCCGCATGATTGAGATGAGCTAGAAAGCAGGAAATAAAGGACAGGATAGAGTGGGGGCAGGTGGGTGGGGCCAGCTGATCATTGGAGCTACCGGTTCACTTGAACTGGTCCGAAATGGCTGAATTCCACCTCTGACTGAAATATATTTATTTCTAGATTCAGTCTAGGCTACAGGTGTTCAGTATAAGCCATGAGGATGTCACAGGCATAATGACATCATCATGTAAATAACAAATATGTAATCTACACAAGCCCATGGTCTAGACTTGCGGTGTCAAACTTGCGGTGTCACATTGCTGTCATGTGACGTAAAGCAACGTTTTCCCCCTTTGTGGAGCTGGGGTGAGCGTGGCCTGCACGTGACGCATCTGGCCTTGGGCCGTCAGTTTGACCCCCCTGGTCTAGACCTTACACTTAATTGTGTTGTTATTTTGGAATGGAATGATAAGCCTGACTGTTTGGTAATTATGTGGGACTACCTAAATAGATTTGTGTGCTCTCTTTAGGAATATTTTCCCCTCATAATGAATTTGATGATTTGCTAAAACTGACCTTAAAGTTTATGCTTTCAAACAGTTTTATTACTGATACCAACTTCTCTTTAGCATTAGTCAGTTAAAAAAAGGATAATAAGAGTTTTAATTCAACAACAAAAGAAAAAAAAACACTCTTCCCTGTTCTACTGAAAAAAGTGAAATATTCACATCCTAATATTGTTCATTTATTTTAAAATGACTTTTCATGTCATTTTCTTTTTTAAAAAAAAGTTGATGCAGGGCTTACGTTTAAGCTTTTGTTTAGCTGCAGAGCCAGGTAGATGGCAGCATTTAGCTAACCTTGGCTGATTTAAAAAAGCTGAGTAGCATGCGAATGGGAAACCACTGAGAAATCCTCAAACTGTAGGGTAGATTGGAAAACAGAACAAAACAAAGCAAAACAAAATCAGTGGCAAACAAATTCCATGGAAACTCAATGCATGTGTCCGTATTGTCACTGAAAGTCAGGCTCAGTTTGAGACTATGAGGTTTCGTGGCAGCACAGAGTAGTTAAAACGTTATACTGAAAATTCAGTGCAATATGTTAAAAGTATTTTGATATCAATGCAAAAAACTCCCTTTAATGCTTAAGAACCAAGAAAGATATGCTCCGATCAAGAGAAGGAGATTTCACACAGAAACAGACTTTATTACTCACCAGATTATGAACAAGGCCATTAACCGAATACATTTTGCCTGTGTTTGGATGGATAACCAGCTGTATGTTTTCAATAATGTTTATGTAGCAAAAAAATAAACAAACAAACAAACTATGGGATTTTTTTACAGTATGGAATAATAAATAACTGTCCACAGTTTAAAATTTTTGCTTTTTACTAATGTTCAGCATTGCTGGCTGAGGAATTCTGGGAGTTGAAGTCCACAAGTCTTAAAGTTGCCAAGATTGGAGACTCCAACTTTAGTTGGAACTCAATTGTTTGTTAATATATCTGTAACAAAAGTAAAAGGCAATATTAGCAGGCTCAAATTTTAAGATCTAATAAAGAGCTCTAAGAACTTGGCTACTAAGGTTTCTAAAGTAGAGATATTACCAAAGGCTTTTTAAAGGTTTGGTTTATAAAAGAAAATCCAATTCTTTTAAATGGAGGCTAAATGAAATGTTAATGAGAAGAAAGATAATTTCAAGGAAAAAAATATTATAAAGAATCAATTGAGGATATTTGATCCTGGACAGATCAGAGATAATGTTAGAAAGAAGAAATAGAATAGAATAGAATAGAATAGAATAGAATAGAATAGAATAGAATAGAATAGAATTTTTAATTGGCCAAGTGTGATTGGACACACAAGGAATTTGTCTTGGTGCATACGCTGTCAGTGTACATAAAAGAAAAGATACATTCATCAAGAATCATAAGGTACAACACTTGATGATAGTCGTAGGGTACAAATAAGCAATCAGGAAACAATATCAATATAAATCGTAAGGATACAAGCAACAAAGTTACAGTCATTGTAAAATTAAGGTTTGTAAAAATAAAAACTTTTAAAAAGCAATTTAAATAAAGGCACTATTTAAGAATGGTTTGTGATACAAGTTAGGTTTTATTAGAGGCTGTTTTATAGAACATAATCGTGAACTTAAAAGGGAAAGTCAAATGAAAACACATGCTATTTTGAATGAAAAAAAGAGAAAAAAAGAATAATTAAATAAATTTTCAGAGAAGTATTTCTCAACAAATCAAGCTTTTGCAATTACAACAATCTGTTGTTAACAATAAGATGAATGGAAATAAAAATTAATTACCTTATTTTTCAGAGTATAAGACGCACCGGAGTATAAGACACACCTTAGTTTTTTGGGAGGAAAATAGGAAAAAAAAAATTCTGCCTACCAGGTATTCATCTGGCTAGTCCTTAGCCTGGTCAGCTTCAGCACATTAGTTCGCTCTCTGGTTTTGAGGTTGGGGCTAAAAAACAGCTTCTAAAGCACAGCTGATTGTCAGCAGGAGCTCCAGTGACTAAAGCAGGCCAAACACGGAAGGTGTAAGAGAAGGCAGCAGCTGTTCTGGGTAGACATTTTGGGCACTGCACACGGGGTTACATTCAGAGTATAAGACACACCCAAATTTTCAGTCTCTTTTAGGAGAGAAAAAAGTGTGTCTTACACTCCGAAAAGTATGGCATGTAAAGCAAAAAAATTGCTTTGCAATTTGCAAATAAACCAGGGAAGTGGCTAGTATATAAATTATGAAAAAAGAAAAGACAATTATATTGAATTACAGTAACCTAAGACGTTTGACAATTGTTGCACCATTTAAACAGTGGTAGAAACCTGTTGTGGAGCCAACCACACCCAGGCTGCTATAGAGGAGGAATGGCAACAAGAGAACTGTTTGGGGCAGAACAGCATTAATGGTACTGGTTGGGCCAGTATTAGTGACACCAAATTTGAATTGCAAATACTGATCTTTTTTTTATTTATCAAATTTGGAAACCACCCATTTCTCTCAATATGAAAATCTATTATCACTCAATGAATTTGACCTACCATCTATCTACTGTAAAAGAAAGCAGCTAACAAGTAATCCCAATAACACGCTTAAGTTCAGAACCTTCTGTTAATGATCTATTATTATATTTAACTCACAGAAAGTCCACAAACAGCTTCTAATCTACCATAAACCCATTGCAATCATTATCTCTGATCTGTCCAGGATCAAATATCCTTGATTGATTCTTGATAATAAAACTTTTCCTTGAAATTATCATTGGGATCTTTCCAAATGGTTGCACCTCACTCCCCTAAGTCATAAGTCTTGGTTGAGACAATCTCTGCAGCGGTTGTTCAGCAGGTTTTCCCACAAATCACAGCATCCTCCAGCTGTTGCCTTCTGACTGCATATAATGAGTCTACTACTCAATCTTCTTCAGCTTTCCTAGAAGCTCCATTCTTTAGCCATCTACTCCACGGGTGTCAAACTCGATCGCGTCACGTGAAGTATCGTGATATATTGTGACATTTTTTGCCTTTGCGGAGTCAGGATGGGCGTGGCCTGCATGTGACGCATCCAGCCTGCAGGCCGCCAGTTTAACAGGCCTGATTTCTACTTCATCAGCTCCACTGTGAGGAAAAGGCCTTCTTCCTGATTCCCACCAGACAGAATTCTTTAACTGATCCGGCCAGCAACATACCCCTTCCTGCCTAAGTAGGATGGGCTGATATAATGGGCAAAGATGGTTCCACAGGTAACCTGGCCCCATGCTATTAGATGGCAAAAATTAAAATGTTTTGCTATTCTTTGCTACCATCCAAAGGCCATCCCAATCAATACACATGAGGCTTGTGATCCTATTTGCCTGCCACTAGTTTTGCTTGCCCCTTTGCTGCCCAGTATATGGACAGGTGCTGCTTTACAGCAGACCATGAAAAGCTTTGGTTTTGAAAGACTGAAGCCCTGTCTGAGCTACACTATGCTGGTGCCCCAGGGAGGCTGCTACCCAGGCCTTGATTGTATTTACACTACTGACAAGTAATATTTATGAATAGATAGTAAGTATGCATAAAGAATATGTTTATGTACAGTGGCATTTATTGAAGAATGGGATGTAGGTTGTCATGGAGATTAAAAGCTTTGAAGTGCTTTTCTTTGGTGCTAGTTCTAGCTGCTGGCCATGAGGATATTAGTTCTGGCACCCTGAATCTTGCATTGTAAAAATAATTGCACTGTTATCTGCACTACAAGAGTTATTGAAGTAGGATAAATACATGTCGACACAAGGACACATCTAAGTCTAAAGATAAACATGCTGGCTTTCTGACACATCTCTGGACAAAATGAAGTGTCGGCAGTTTTCAGAAACCTCTAAAATGCTTGTTTTCTGTTGAATGGTCATTCAGGCTGTTTACAAGATGTCATTACACGCTATACAGAATCTGTGCTTGCTTCAGAAAGAAAAAAAAAATCATTGCGGAATATCGATAGCCTGTGAGTCGCCGGTAAATAGATGGGATTTCTTTAGAAAGAAGGTCTTGTGTTTTGTAAGTAGAGCCCGGTGTACAAGGTTTGTGTAACAACTCTAAACTCATTTACAGTTTGGTATGAAAAGCAGGACAACTTCTTGAACAATTAGGGGAAAGTGGTTATTGACAAGTTTACTTCTGTGAGAGGCTCAGCCTCTTCTCTATCAGAACCCTGTTGTCTGCCAGACCTGCTTTGGGTAACATCTTAACCAATAAATCAATGTCAAATGCTGCAGTCTAAACAGCATGTGGCCACAAGCACAAAACAGACATCAAGTGAGTTTTCAAAACTGACTAAAAGTGATGGCGATTAACTAGAATTATAGATATTTATATTTAAACTGACACCACAGAATACTTTTGAATCTTGACAGATACGTGGAATCTTTAAATGTGGTAATTGCAGTTACAGGACCTCCTGGGATCAACCTGCTAGAAAGGGA